CCTATTGGCACCAGATAAGATAAAGCTATTATTGATAAGATAATTAATGCAGGTCATCAAGCTCTAATACAACTTGCATAGATTCATGCACCCGAATTAAGTGCAAGCAATGGCCATTATTAGTATACACATATTCAGTGACATCCCGGTAGTCCGTAAATTATAAATATAAAACCTCAGTGCCAGAGAATAACCAGTCTCGATTTTCTGCCGAAACATAGTCCATAGGTCGTAAAAATAATTATGAAAATTGTGATGTGTTCGCGAAACCATACTTACAATGTTGGAATGTCTATATTTTTCAGTCTAAATTCAGTCACTATGTATACCCAGTCACAGCACAAAATGCGTGAAACTGGTATTGATATATTGTAAAGATTCCAGTCGTAAATGCGATCAGGAATTAGGATATAACACTGACTATACTTTACAACTGAATGTTCACCGCCATGGGTTACAATGTTTATTCTATAATATATCAGTTACTTATGTTGCTAATGTTACTTAAGTACTTATGTACTTATGTTACTTATGTTACTTATGTACTTATGTTACTTATGTTACTTATGTTACTTATGTACTTATGTTACTTATGTCACTTATGTACTTATGTTACTTATGTTACTTATGTTACTGATGTAACTTATGTTACTTATGTACTTATGTTACTTATGTTACTTATGTAATTTATGTTACTGATGTAACTTATGTTACTTATGTACTTAGGTGTCTTAGGTTACTTATGTTACTGATGTAACTTATGTTACTTCTGTACTTATGTTACTTATGTAACTTATGTTACTATGTTACTTAAGTACTTATGTTACTTATGTTACTTATGTACTTATGTTACTTATGTAACTTATGTAACTTATGTTACTTATGCACTTATGTTACTTATGTAACTTATGTTCCTTTATTTACCTACATTGTTGTCAATCATGGTAAAGAACATTTAATTCCAAAGTATGATAGTGTTTTACTGACTGGTATAATTTGTCAGTCTGACAAAGACATCCAATTTTAGGCAATTTGTGAATCAAGCAATTTGTAAATTGAATGGAATTTTCAGTTCTTTTATAAAGTGATTGAGTTTAGACATATGCAGTAACTTGCACGTGATTCATGGGTCTTCACTACGTTGAGAGGATTATTTTATCCGGTAATGTGTTAATCCGGACTATTACATAGCAACGAAGCCGTCCGGATAAACGAGGTTCACCACATCGGAGCGTGCAAATAATGTTGTACTATAATCACCTATCTCAGAAATATAATCTTTAGTTGGCTGTGTTTTAGTCTTAAACCTGCTATTTCATTTAGAAATAATATGAACACTTTTTATTGTTTATTAGTTGAACTTTTCACAGTACAAATGTATCGATTCTATGGCACAGTATTTCACAGTGAGTACACGTATATGAATTCAAAGAAGATGCTTCAAAACTACACAGGCAACATAAGAAAATACTGTACAGGGGCCCGTTTCACAAAGCGATCGTAGGGCTACGACTGCCGTAACTCCTATACTTTAACATAGATTTACGACAGTCTTAGCGCTACGATCTCTTTGTGAAACGGGCCCCAGATTCTCAAAATGCCCGTTACTGACCTACAAACAGGACTTGTTTCTGTGTGGTGTAAAGTAAGTATAACTATATTTTACACTAATGTCAATTAACGTCCAAACTATGAATTATTCAAATGCGGTATGCATATAAATCGGAATTTCTGCTTAGGTTGGCAAAATCAAAACACGGAAATTGGGTAAAGAATTATCTCAAGCTTTAGATGTATCGATAGTCTGTCTCACAGCCCCTAAGCCATATTATTTTCCCTTTTACCCAGCCCTTTCTGTAATGCAAAAGCCCTAGATGAAGCAAGTCTAGATTTTCCTCAGCTTCTGAATCTCCTATCTCAATTTAAATGTAGTTGTTTCTTTCTGTCAAATTCATATATTTTCAGAGACGAAGTGTTAGTCTAGTGTATCGATGATCTGATATCGTTTAAATAGCCAATTTCCTTCCACTGATTAACCCATGAAATATGTGTAAAAGAGGCCACTGAAACAGCCTCTTAAGTTTCATATTTAGATATATACATAAAAAATCAGAGTTACAGCTAACTATAAACAAGACTGAATGACTAGAGGGGCGATTTCAACTTTCCAATACTCAACTTTCCTGTTATTTTGAGCAATATTCAAGCAGCTCCAGCCTTTGGTGTCTACATTACACAACATTTGAGGTACAATCGAGCTGCTATTTCTACGAAGATTTCAAAGAGTGTCATACGACTCTTTCTCAAAAGGGGGCGGTCGGGTAGCCTAGTGGTTAAAGCGTTCGCTCGTCACGCCGAAGACCCGGGTTCGATTCCCGACATGGGTACAATGTGTGAAGCCCATTTCTGGTGACCCCCGCCGTGATATTGCTGGAATATTGCTAAAAGCGGCGTAAAAACATACTCACTCACTCACTCACTTTCTCAAAAGTTGTTTGATACCGGTTACGACATTCAAGGTCTTAGTAAAGCTTTCCAAACGTTTTATCGCAGACATGTGGAAGACATCAGTGACAACAATGAAGTCCGATGCAGTTCCTTATTTAACTTGTACCATATGTTCCCATGTTTTATAAGGTAAACACTTGACTTGCCCTTCCATGTGTTTGTGACAGATACCCCGGTGGGGCAGGATACGCTCACCGTTTTGCGAAAACCTGGTATCATCACTATTTTCTTAGTGATTTATAAGCACTTGATTATGATATAGTCTGAATCGCACAATGGCCGTTGCTTTAATACGATATAACTTCTGTTAGATTCTTATTCTCACTCGAATGCATAAAGAAACAGGTCATATTGTAAGATGCAAAGCATATACAATTATATCAGGCTGTATGTGTACCTTATAATATTAAGGTAAATGGCATATTTTAATGTAAATGTACAGATAATACACTGTTATGTTTATATTTGCAGTGCGTCTATTTTGAAGTTGAAATACGGCATCAACAACGACAAAGCTATTTTTCGTAATTTGCCAATACGGTCTTTGCATATGAATAGAAGTAAGCGAGAAGCATTTCTTATTTATAGGTAAAGAGAAAGAGATGACTTAATTCCATAACAGTACTCAATAGAACACAGACAGAACAGATGGCTCATTTCATCAACAAAGATATGTGTCAACGCACCCTGAACGTCACAATCATATACACTGCTTACAACCGAATAGTATGCACACATTCCAACAAGCAGTAGAAAATTCTGTTTCTCGGCGTCTAATAATCGATACTGGACTAGACAAACCAGTTATTAATAGCATGAGCAAAGTCCCACACTGGGTACAATGACACCCAATGAAGCTAGTCATCGAGCTTGATCACCCAATCCATTTAGACGCCTCTTTACGACATCAACAGGTTACTATGAGCCGTTATAAACCGAATCCCTTTCGGGGATTGTGTAGAATATTACCAAATGGGATTAATTCCATACACATGAATAACATATATTAAATCAACGTTTAAAACAAATAGAAGACAATTATTATAGCCTCAAACAGCAACCCTCGCACATGACCAGATACATTAGGTATAAGCATGATATCTACATTCCGTATCTTATTATAGCGCTGACAAGGCTTAGTTGCAAAAGTTCAAAAGATACCAACACAGGTCTGTCAGGACGGTCACGTTTCAATCAATTACATTGTAAACTGTAAAACGTTTACGTGACTTAATTAAGACTTACTTAAGACCACTTTCACCTTTTATCAACATTTCAGTTGTTGAATTAAGTAACAGTGCCATTAGGCATGGTATCTAGATGCCTATTTTTTCATATTTAAATTAAAGCGACAATTAAAACCCTTTCAACAATCAAACAGAAATATCTGCTAAAAGTAGAGCCAGTGTATGATTCCGACTATTTCATAAGCATGTGTTTATGAATCACAATAAAATGGTGATGATAACAGGTTCAAAATATGTTTCATTACTTTCTAACTTCTGAACATCAAATATTCCGATAGTAGCAAATGCAATTAAATGAGATTTCATAAAGATTGTATCACGTTAGTTTCAATGAGATACACGATTACACAAATCAAATTGATGATACAAAATCCCGAAACCATCAGGCACCTAATTGGTCAGTGAGTGAGGTTTTATGCCGATTTTATCAATATTCCTGTACAATCACTGCTGGGGAAACTGGAAATGGACTTAACACATTGTACCCATGTTGGGACTCGACCTAGGGATTTCGGCGTGACAACGGAAAGATTTTACCACTAGGCAACCACAACGCCGAGACAAAAAATGAACTACACGATGGTCATTTTTGGGGGGTTTTTTTAAAGTAGTAGTAGTAGTAGTAGTAGTAGTAGTAGTAGTAGTAGTAGTAGTAGTAGTTACAGATTAAAATTAATAAAATATGCAGCAAAGAGAGTTTGGGTGACGCTGGTGCAGCCAGTGAGTCAAGTTTAGTGCAACTCAATATACAGTTTGCACACACAATTATGTTATATAGTCATGTATTTATATAATCAAGGGCATGCAGACGTAGTTCTCGAATGCATTATACAAACATGTCTTCTCTTCCATCCAGAGTAGATGCATCATTGCTGTTGAACTAATTGACTTTGCTACTGGTTCAATCTATCATGATAACATACTTCACCTTCTGGTGCAATCAACAAAGATAACATACACCAAAGTCCAGACCCCTTGCGCTGCGTATTAAATGCTAATTAATATCAGGGCCATGCTTTCGTGAACACATGCCCCAAACCTGTATTACAATAAGATGATATATGCGATGTTCATTTAGTAGAACGATGTATATGGGTGGCTGTATCGGCAATCTGTCAAGTTCAATATGGACAAAAGTCACTGATAACTCTGACCGACACCTGCAATAGATGTCACCTTTGCCCACCCCACTTCTGATACCTGTATATAAAACTCAACAGTGGGCATTGGCTTCAGAAACCACGACGAACGCTGTGACACACGTTCCATTACACTTCACGGTGTCAAGCAAGCAGCCAACATATAGACACACGACTGCGGGAAGGGTCTCCCCAAGAACCCAACACAATGTATTCAACAACAGCCTTTACGCTGTTAGCTCTGCTAGCAAGTGCACTGGCAGGTAAGTCTTCAGACTTTGAATGTGTACCTGCACTAGTGGAATGATATATTTCAGGTTTGGTTTTTTTTGACGGACCAGGTCGGATTAGGTCCCTTTTGGGGCCACATGATCTGCTTGATTTAAGAATTAAGAAAACTATTAGAGTTGTTATGAAAGTTATCAGGTGTGTTAATATATGCATTAGACTTTCTTCATTACATGTTTAGGAATTGTGACAACACTAGATGTACCAGGCCGATATTAGAGATGTTCAGGAAGCGTGTTTCTAATATTTGACCAAAGAGCAAATCTTTGATCCAAACTTTTTTTTATTGAATATATAGTTGGTTGGTTGCTTGGTTGTTTTACGCCGCCCTCAGCACTATTCTAGCTATATGACGGCGGTCTGTAAATAATCGAGTCTGGACCAGACAATCCAGTGATCCAGTGAGCATCAACCAAGTCAGCGAGCCTGACCACCCGATCCCGTTAGTCGCCTCTTACGACAAGCATAGTCGCCTTCTACGGCAAGCATGGGTTGCTGAAGACCTAGTCTAACCCCGGATCTTCACGGGTCTGGATAAATATACAGTGCACATACGTGCTACATAATTCATCTAAGGTCATAGTCTTAGTTAAACTTAGATCTACATTTTAAAACACAGTCCTTTTTCGCTTTTTTAGCCACACTTCTGTATTTGATCATGTGCGAAGTTCAAAATATGCACCGGTAACGATGAACAATAGCTATCTGTAAGCCAATTGAACTTTCTGATATTTTCACATCATTGATTCAAAGGTATCTGCAACATCAAAATTTGACATTTCCAGAGGACAAAAAACTCATCATTCTTGCTTATCCTTTTGAATGGTTACATGTTCGCTTTCCTCATCACCTATTTGTCGATTGGTATAAGCCTTAACGTGAGCTATAAATGTTGAAATTGATCACCTTAGATATTCAGTTATAGGCTACCTTTTTATATACCTTTAGTTCATTGTTAAATTCAAACAACGTTATGAGGTAACACTTAAAATATCGAGCTCTTAGGTTATTGGTGTTGTAGTTTCAAATGTTCCACGTGTGTGAGGTCATAGTACAACATGACACCACTTTGCAAATGTGACACACTGGAGGAAGGTGTTACAGTCTAACTCTTCATCAAAAGAATTTCTTTCCACCATACCAATCCTAACAAGGATTTCATAGTTTCACATAGCTAATTTTCGATACCATTCATTTCTCTATATATTGTTGATTAAACATGATATTTTATACTAGGGCCAATCACCTACCAGTCACGCGATGAAACGACATCCTGCGCCAGACGATGCCGAGGTAAGTAAAATAGCTTAGTTTGTAATGACTGCTGATCTTGTCTTAATCTACATATCTATAATAAAAACTGTTTGAAAAATACATATCGATGTTTGTGGACAGAACTGATATCAGTTGTTTTCATTTTTGTGTCAGACATGAACAAGTTCAACTACCTCCCAGGAACAACCTATGAATTCGATTATAATGTTCAGACACATACATCTATGGAAGGAGCTTCTGGTGATCAAGCGACTCTTGGTATCCGGGCAACTGCTGACATTGAGGTGCTGTCTAAGTGCGACATGGCTCTTAGGGTAGGTGCAAGTACACACATTCATTAGAGCAATGTCCAATACACCATAACATTGTGAGAAATATGCGCGATGTGTAAAAAAGGGCATCTCTCTTCTATTGTACAAACATGTGTTTCAGCTGCGAGATGTGAAGGTATATCAGTCTGATCCATCAACCTCTACACCAATGAAATACGCTGATGAGTCAGGCGAGTTCAGAAGGAATCTAGAGCGATTCCCCCTCCGCTTTTCCTTCCAAGATGGCATAGTAGAAGAACTGTGTCCAGCTGAGGGTGAAACCACATGGGCTCTCAACATCAAGAGAGGTCTTCTCACTGCTGTTCAGAACAGTATGGATAACCTGGAAAAGAACCAGATAGTACAAGAGGTAAAACAAACATGTTTTTCTTGTGTTTTAAAACTGTATTATGTATAATTTGTATAACATGCATGTATTGGGATACATATGCAAAAGTTCTATCCTTGATGTCCCCAGAGTGACGTCACAGGCGAGTGCAACACCAACTACACGGTGGCATCACATGGCTGGTACTCTACAACAATTAAGAAGACCAAGGATCTCCTAGGTTGCACTGATCGTAATGGTTATCACAGTTCCGTCCATGGCATGCAGTACAGAGTTCCTTCAGAGATCCAGTCTCTGCCCCTCATGAAGAGTACACACGAATGTGAACAAGAACTGGACAAGAATGGACTCCTCAAGAGTGCGCTCATCCGGGAGACCCACACATTCAGACCTTTCTCCAGGGCCACCAGCGGTGCCACCACCAAAATCCTTCAGAGACTCAACTACAAGACTCAGAGATCTGGTGTTACCACAAGACAAGGTGATCAGTCTATACATCTCATTGTGCTAGTTTCGCCGATGACACAATACTTAAAGATCATTAAATACATATAATCATCACCTTTAATAAATGTTCCTCAGGATCGTACATACTTAATTTATTATTTACACGTTCTAGATTACATTCGGAATCGGGTAGGAGTTGTGTTTGAACATGCCTATGGACCAGGAAACAAAGACCAACCAATGAGAGATGCTGAGAGTAAACTGCGAGAGATCTGTCAGAATACACGCGAGGATATCCGCCCCGACACTCCACGCTTGTTCTCTGAGCTTGTGTACATCATCAAAAATCTGGATGTTGATAACCTTAGAAGTGTCTACCAGCAAGTAAAGTCTGGAGCTACCTGCACTGACAACAGCGAGAGAGTCAAGTTAGTATAAACACTTGAAGTGACACAAACATATTGCATATCATATATACCATTCCTGAAAATCCTTTCAACAACAATCCTTGATAAACATCTGTACATCCTTTTTTATTAATCCTTCAATTTTGGTTGCTTCTAGGAAGTTTTTCCTGGACACTATCCCGATGGCCAGTACACGTGCATCTGTTACGTTCTTGAAAGAAATTCTGCTAAAAAGAGAAGTCACTGGTGCACAGGCAACCATGTGGATCACTTCCCTGTCTCTCATCCACTACCCAACACTGGAGATGTTGCAGGAAGTAAAGGTGAGCTGTTATTCACATCGCAGAAAAATCCCTAAAAGCAGTCAAAGAGACCTTCTTCCAAATCTAATATTCTCTCTGAATCTATTTATTTGTAGGCGCTTCTTGACACCCCACAGTACAGCAAGGCGGCCATGCTTCCGATCTCCACTATGGTCAACAACTATTGCAACCATCATGAAGCTTGTTCTGAGGAATCCACTATCACACGTATCATCTCTACCATGGAGAAGACCATTGGTTATGGCTGCTACATCAGAGATTCTAATCTGGAGACTAGTCTTGTTGCACTTCGTGCTCTCGGAAATGCAGGCCATGTGGACAGACTGACCACTACGCTTAGCAGCTGCTTCAACAAACAAGCCAACCCAATGGAGGTCCGAGTAGCTGCAATCCAGGCCTACAGAAGACTACCATGTACTGCCGATGTAAGTTATGGAACTGTATACGAAACTCACTCAGACATATGATATTTGCTACATTTAAATGTCAATAATTATTTAATAAAACCATAATGTCACAATATGTGTTTCATTCCAGAGAAGTGAAGTAATGACCATCTACCAAGATTCTGATGAGGACTCTGAGTTGAGAATTGCTGCCTACTTGGCTGTGATGCAGTGCCCATCTGAAGACGTCTTGAGTACAATCCAAGGAACTCTCGAATCTGAGAAAGCTAATCAAGTTGGAGCCTTTGTCTGGTCTCATCTTACCAACCTGATGGAAACATCCAGTCCACAGAAACAGACCATCAGACGAATCCTGGAGGACAAAACCCTCGGAAGGAATTTCGACCTCTCAACACTCAAGTATTCACGCAACTATGAAGGCTCTCTATTTCTGGAGAAGTTCAACACTGGTGCCATGCTGGAGAGTAATGTCATCTTTTCAGATAAATCCTTCATTCCTCGTTCTGCTATGCTCAACATGACAGTTGATCTCTTTGGGAACTCTCTCAATCTCTTTGAGCTGGGTGGACGCATGGAAGGAGTGGAGTATCTCATTGAGAACTACCTTGGCCCATACAGCTACTTTGGAGGAAAGGCAGCCAAGAAACCAAAGGTGCTTTTCTTATATATCCATCATTTAATTTCTCTTAAGTCTAAGAGCACACACAATACTTTTGCCATTCAAACATTTAGTACAGAACAATATACATGTATTTCAAATTGCTATTGGTTTCAGAGCAATGTCAACCTTGATCACCTCAGAGGAGACTTGTACATGAGGATCTTTGGCAATGAAATGTACTATGATCATTTCAAAGGCGTAGATCCATTGGCATCTATCAAGAACTTCAACTTTCTTGACTTCCTCATCAAGATGTCCAAGAAACAAGACTACTCTTTCACTCAGAGTATGATGATCCTGGACAGCAGCATGATCATCCCCACCAGCTCCGGTCTTCCCCTCAATCTCACCGTCAACGGAACAGCAACCATCGACCTTCAGGCCTCTGGTCAAGTCGATCTCCGAAAAATGACAACTTCACCAAGCAGTCTCCTCATTGAGGGACACATCAAGCCAAGGTTAATTTTAAGTTTTCAGTCCTTTTTAAGAAAATATTAAGTTTATCACATTTGCCATGCAACTGTCCATAAAATATAAGTCTGAAACCATTGCCTTCTTTTTTAGTGGAGCTATCAAGATTGTTGGCACGATGAGCATGGATGCCTTCGTCACCAAAACAGGTCTTAGAGTTGTCAACACCTGGCATTCCAGCACTGCCTTGAAAGGGCGTGTAGAACTCAGCCGAGGAAAGATTCTTAGTGCAGACATTGACTTTCCTCAACAGAAGATGGAAATCCTAGATGTCAAGTAAGCATTTCTAATATTCAGGCGCTTCTATATACAAAGAATTCCCTTTTTATACACAAGCAAATATTTTAAGATAACTGTTATGCCTTTGCTTAGGAAACAACACTTCATAATCAATCCACTACATTAAGTGATAGAAACTAAGAAATATTAATAATGATAATACGTCCACTTGTAACACGCTCAAACTCCTCAACAACGTGCTTGTGGGCATCTACACAAAACGGAAAGAGATTATGGGATGTTAGAATAAAGTTTGAAAATATATATCTTAGCTTTGAAATGTACCAAAGAGTCAGCATATCTCAAGAAGTCAAGCAGATTATTCAAGTTATAAGCAGCTGCTACTCCGAAAGAGTGATATCAAAATGTTTTTAAGTTTATAAGCGGGGATATGAATGAGTGAGCGGACAAGAGTAGTTGCTGCTTCCTCCGTGATCAGTGAGTGAATAGTGCCAAAATTGTTAATACAATCAATTAAAACATGATATTCAACATTTTTATGGACTAATATTTCCTTCCATATTCTACAGCACAGAGTTCTTCAGCATTCATGGTGATCAGGAGAAGAAACAAGACTTGGTCTCAGGCAACAGAAAGAAGCTGGAACTGTGCACAGGTGCCAGACTTGCCACCATTACCGGCCTTGAGCTCTGTAATGAGTTCCAGTGGCCTAATGCTTCTATGGTGGATAATGCTCCATACTTCCCCTTCACAGGGCCCTTCTCCCAAAGCCTAGTTCTTTACAAGAGGGACACACACACTGGCTACAAGCTCATGGCTAAACAATCAGTGGTGAGTTTGTAAATGAGTTCTTCTTTCAAAACAGTCACACGTTTCGGTGGTATGTGAATTTGTTACAGAAGAGACATTATGACATACATTTGTATGAAATAAGAAGTTCTCTGCTGAGAAATCATCTTTACTTAATTGAGCAACTAAGTTTTATTTTAATGGTAAAAAAGGTATATTTTTCTTTTTCAGAATCAGTATTCCTCTGTAGCTCAGATAGCTGTGAACACACCTGGATCCAGAACTGACCGATCTTTGGCTTTCGACTTTCTTCTAAATAAAAAAGATAAAGACCTTGAAATCAACCTAGCATCCCCATGGAAGAAGGCAGCATTCAAAGGTGTGTTGTTTGAATTGAGCCTCATTTACTGTCACATTTGAAGAAACATATAACTTTGTGATTTATTATGCTTAGATTGAAAGTAATACTATTCATGTCATACTACAGGGTCCATGGCATATGAAAGTAACAAGATAGGCACAAGGGGCAATCTGATTGTCGATGAATCTTCAGAATATGGTATCATCAGTGAAGTGGGTATCAAGAAAGTAAAGACATTTGTTACCTACATCCCCCGAGTGGAGATCAGACGTCCTGGAGCCAAAGTCATCCTACTCAGTGGCACAGTTGAGGCTGAAGCACTCAAGAGAGCCAGTGTTGAGTTAACCCTTGCTGGGGTAACACCAAATGCAATCAGCTTTAGATGTAAGTTCACTTTTCAAAACTAACAATTATTCAATAAAATCATAGCACGTCAACATAAAAACACAACTAAACACCATTTTTCATGTTTCTTTTATCTTACATTACTTTTGCAGCTGCCTTACTAAACTCTAAAATTGAGAAGAGTGTGATGGGTACCTTCAATCTTGCTCCAAAGCAGGACTACGTTCTCGAGGCTGGTTTGGTGTACCAGAACAGTGGCAGGAAGAAGTCCATCATCAAGGTCATCCCAACATTGACGGTGAAGACCCCAAAAGTTGAGGTCGTCTCACTCTCTGGTTCAGGAGACTACAAAGAGGGCAAATCACTCAAGGGCAGTCTGTCTCTAGATGTCCACAAGGTCTTGACCAAACCAATCACTCTCAAATGTAAGTGTTATGGAACGGAACATGCCTCAAAGAAACTAACTTAAGGAATATTTAGGGATGCAGACATATAGTTCACAATCACAATTTAGTATCAGATATTCACAAACCTGTGGATATTGATATTTAGTAATCTAATATTAATGAGTGGAGAAACATGTATATGTTAGTACTTAACTCCGTTAACCAGGTAAACTGAAATTTTCAATGGTTGATTACTTTGCTGTTGCAAATGATGATGAATAATTCCAAATAACAAACATTTAACCACAGTATCTAGTGAAGATTATGATTATTAATTTATGCATATATGTCCAAATCAGGTAACATCAAGAAGACAGGTGGTACCAAAAGCAAGTACACTGGAAGTGTAACGGTGTCCTCCCATTTTCTGGTCACCAAGGTTAGTGGCAACGTGCAGACCAAGATGAACACAGTCAGCTCCTTTATAACTCTCGACTACAACCTGCCTAAGATCCGAAGTATCAAGAAGGACAAGATCACATTCAGCTCTAAATACACTGATCGTAGCACCAAGTCCCTCTGGAACTACCAGCTCAACACGTAAGTTACATTTGTAAACATTGACATATCAACCTCTTATACATCAGGACAGTGTCACAACCTTAGTAATAGCAAAGTTGAATTGCAAACGTATGCATCATGTGTGTAGACATTATGATTTTTTTCCAGAAACTTCGAAGACAAGAGATTCCCTCAGGTGAACTTCTTCACAGATATGGACTTCTCTCACAACAAGAAACACACAGAAGCTGGTGCAGCTTTCAGATATGGACCCAAATCCAAGGACTCCTCCCGCCAGATCACAGGTTATGCTCTAGTCAACCATGACATGGGCTCCAAAGCCAAAGTTGACTACACAATGAAAACTACTCTGGGACCACTGGTAAGTCATTTGATTGTACATAGCATAACAATAAGGCCAAATATACAGCTAAAAATCAACTAAACATAATAAATAATAATATTATAGTTATATACCAAAGAAATTTATCATCTGTATAGCAGTTGTTACTAAATGGTTGCTTTGATTTTCATTTCAGGATGTAAAATTGAGCCTGAAAGGAAAGCACGCCCAAGACAGTCGCAATCTGAATTCCTCCATGACATTTGCCTATGGCAAAGGAAATACAATTGATGCTGCTCTCAATCTTAGAAACAGTGGAAAAAGGACACTTTATCTCTTGGGTGAAGCTAGCCTCTCCTATCCAGGCAAAGAACTACGCCTGAATACCGATCTAATCCAGTCAAAGAAAGACTACACACACTCCATGACCTTCTACATGGATAAAGAAAAGTCTACCATGGTAACAACCTACAAAAGACAGAAGGATACAGCCCACCAGGTGAAATCTAACATCAACCTACATAACATCCAGCCAATCCAACTCACTGCTTCCACTAACCTGGATAACAAAGACCTCAAGGTTTCTGCTCAGGCTGATTATGCTGGCGAGGTTTACGGAATCAACACAGGCTATAAATACTCCAAGACATCATCTGCCAAGTGGAGCATGGACATGACATACCCCACAAGACATGTCATTCTTCAGGTCGAAGGGGGAAAGCGAGGTGTCACATATGAGGGCTCTGCTGATGTTAAGTGGGATGCTGATAAGGACATTTCCAGGAGATTCCTCCTCACAGGAAAACTCAACCTCAAGTCACTTGGCAATTTCGCTTCCACTGTTGCAATGAAATACCCAACCAGAGATGTGGAGTTCAATATCAAACATGCTAGTGGTGAACAGTATACAACCCGTGCTGATTTCTCTTGGGACACTGACAAGAAGGTCAAAGTAGACACATCTTTCAAAAGGGTCCCAAGACGAAATGGGCAGTCACTTGATGGCTCTGTGAGAGTGAAGACACCATTTGAAGGATTTGAGGAACTAATGGCCCAGGCCAGCAGTGACAACGATGACAAAAAATATGGCTCTACCATGCAATTCTCCTGGGGTGGAAAGAAGAATCAGATCTCTTCTGCTGTCAGCATGAAGAAACCCTTCTCTGTAAGAAACATAGACCTCACTATCACAGGAACATCCCCTTTCAAGGGATACAGAAGGTTCAGCACCGAAGTAGCTCACAGAATGACAACTTCACTCACCACTATCATGAAGGGAAGCTTAGAGGGAAAGAATGCCAAGCTCATTATGACTGGAGAGAACCGATGCACTGACCAGAAAAGGGACATTGAGGGTACTGTGACTTTTAAGTCCAACTTCAAGGGAATGCGAGCTGTTAATCTCCGTCTTTCTCACAATGATGATTTAAGAAAGTTTGTGAGTGACATTGCACTGGATGTCAATGGTGATCAATACATCTATGACTTGGATATGAACCACGCAAGATCTGGATGGCAGTTCCAAAACACTGGCAAGCTCACACTCTCTTCTCCAAGCTACCAATTCACCAACAACTGGCAACACAGAAATACTCACAATGATGTGAAGAGTACAATGACAACAGAATGGGGCAGAGACAAACGTATATTTGTCAACATATTTGGAAACCATGCTTCAGCCACCAGAACAAAGGCCTTAGGAGGAGTGACAATTGAAACACCATGGGAACCAATCCGCAATATTGACATCAACCTTGACCATGAACATGGAAGAGGTTTTATCCGACACTCGTCTAACATGAAGCAGGGAGAGAATATGATTGGATCAGCGGGTATCAACTACATTAGATCCAATGGGCAAACAGAGTCTGATTTTACACTGGCATCACCCATGACCAACCTTAAAGGGAAGATAAATGCTCGCTATGTAACTTATCCACTCTCGGGTCATGCTGAATTAGAATGGTCTCCATATAACAAATTATCGCTCGATGGTTCCTTTGCTGCTCCATCTACCCAGGATATTGAAACAAGTCTGAGGATGACAAGTCCTTTTGAAAACTTCAGAGATATTGTCGTGAAGGCATCCCACAAGAAGGAAGGCTCTGATTTGATATCCAGAGGAAGCTTCAGCTATGACATAAGAAAGTCCTTTGAGTTTGAAGCACACATCACACCTGATAGTCTCAACAATTACCGGGCAACACTGAAGACTCCATTTGATGACTACAAATCTTTGGAAGCAGGACTTTCATTCAATGGTGACCATAGAAACTTCATGAGCAAAGCTAACTTTGCTATCACCCCAGTCCTGGGCAACTTTGCTGGAGTCTTAAACTGGAACCTAGATGATATGAATGGAAAAATGAGGATAGATACTCCCTTCCACGAGTATCAGTACTTGCAGGTGTTTGCCAGCAGTGAGAATACAAGCAAGGGAAGACGTTCACACATTGAAACTGAATACTACCCAAGGAAAACTATTAGCCTCGATGCTGTCTATGCCATTGGAACCCCCATTATTATTGACGTCACCATCAAGACTCCATTTGAAAGAATGGAACACATGAGTGCATCCCTGAAGCATGCACTGAGAAGACGTTCATTACAAACACATGCTGATCTTTCGTTTGCTTCAGACAACAACCTGGCTGGTGATCTGAAACTGAACTGGGCAAAGGGATATGATGGCAGTCTGGTTATCACCACACCTTTCTCTGGTTATGAAATGAACAAGCTATCGTTAAGACATGAGGGCAACTGGGATGACGTGAAGAGCCATGGAGAAATAGAAATGGCAAAGAAAACTGGGGAAGTGGACCTAGATTTTCATAATGGTTTTAGATCAACTGGGGTGTTCACACTGAAGACACCATTCAGTGGCATGACAGAAACTAAAGTTTCATTCAACAAGCGTGGCTCTTTGGATAACATACGAGGAGGTATAATTATCACCTATGGACAAGATCAAACCATTGACATCTCTGGCCAGAACAGATTTTCCAACGGACGCCTGGACACAACACTTCTTCTCAAATCCCCCTTTTCTGATAACATCAAGTTTGTCATTGATCATGATGGTCAATTAAGAAGTTTCTCCACTAAGGTATCTGGAGCAGTTGGTTCACGGCACTCCTTCAACTCAGAGTCAGCATTCACTTTCAGATATCCATTGATAGATCTATCTACCAACTTTGGCTACACAAAAGATTGGAGGGGCAGAAACATTGGACTCAAGCTTCACAAAGAAGGTTACATTAGTGACATGAACGCCAAAGCCAGTGGAATTCTGGACAATGAACAAGTTGATATTTCCCTTATGCTAAAGACAGATGGCAAAATTGAAGGATCTCTTACCATGCAAACACCATTTGACGACTACAAAGATGTTGGACTTTCTCTTCAACATTCTGGTAACATGCAGAGGTTTTCAAGTCAAGGCACTATCAGGTACATGGATGGCAAGTCTCTGGAAGGCACACTTACTTTGTGGCAATCTGGACTGGCTCATATTGATACCAAAGCAGAAATCAAGACTCCCTTCCTTGGATATGAATCTTCACTTCTCAAATACCGCCATTCTATCGATGACACCCAAATGACATCAAATGCTCTCATTCTCTATGGACGTGGACAACGAATTACATCTGATCTCAGTATCGAAACATCACCTAAGATCAGTTTTGATCTTACCATTCAAACACCCTTCAACAGATTCCAAAACAATAAACTTGTGTTTAGTCATTCCGGACCACTTATCAGCTGCACAAGTCATGCACAAATGGAAATCCTGGAGAAATCAATCTCTGCTGATTCATCATTTGATCACGGAACTACTACCGTGGCTAGTCTCTCCATCATCTCTAATATCGAGGGTATGGAAATGGTCAAAGCATCTTTCAACAAGGAGGGAAGCAGCGACAACTTTAGAGGTACTGCCTCAGCCTCCCTTAAGGATTCCACCATTGAAGCCGATATCACAGGTAAAATTGCTCAAGACATCAGAGGAACCTTTTCTCTTAGAACACCTTTCAGAGACTTTAGAGACACAGCCATTGTCATTGAACACACAGGCAACTGGAATGACTTTAATAGCGAAGGACTGCTCCGTTACATGGATGGCAAAACAATTGAGGGCAAAGTTAAGTTCTCCCATAATGGATACAGGCAGATGAAAACAAGTGCCGAGCTGAAGACACCCTTCACTGCATTTGAAATGATGACAGTTGAATATGGACATGATTCCAGGAGCAATTACTTTAAATCTAACTCAGCAGTCACCTATGGCAACGGACAGAGAATTACATCTGACATCTCTGCAGATACATCCAGAGATATCAATGTAAATGTTGTGCTCAAAACTCCTTTCAGGAACTTTGAACTTAGCAGAGCAATGTTTACTTCTACTGGTCCTCTCAGAAATCTGAAAAGCAATGCAGAACTTGAGTTTGCCAAGACCAGACTTACTGCACAGACCAACTTTGCAAACATGGAATCAACAAAAGGCAACCTCATTATCACAACAAACATTCCTTGTTATGAAAGCATGAAGGGTTCCATTGGTGTGGAGGGTGATCTCACTGACCTGAAAAGCACAGCCCTTCTTAACATTAAGGATTCTACACTAGAGGTAGATCTTAGTGCCAGTTTAAAGAACAGCATCATGGCATCTTTGACGATCAGGAGTCCTTTCCAGAACTTCAGAAATGTTGGAGGGTTTATCCAGCACTCAGGATCCCTATCCCGCTTCAATACTGAAGGAAATCTTCGCTACATGGATGGAAAGGTTGTTGAAGGCAAGGTCGTCTTCTTAACATCTGGACTGACACACATTCAAGCCAGCACTGAGATAAAAACACCTTTCCAAGGATATGAAAGCCAATCTGGGGAATACAAACATTCAGTAAAGAATGGCCGTCTTAGCTCCAACATGGATGTTACCTATGGTCAAGATCAAAAAGTACTTATGACTGTAAATGGCATGATGTCACCAGCAATTGACATAAGCGCTACACTCAAAACTCCTTTCACAAACTTTGACAACAGCAGAATCATCTTCACTCATGAGGGATCCATTGGCAACTGCAAGAGTCATCTGGAAGTACAAGCCATTGGAAAGTCATTCACTGCAGAGTCTGATGTCCAGACTGGAAGTTCTATGAGAGGTAACCTGAATATTGTCAGCAACATTCAAGGCCTGGAAAGCATGAGGGTATCTTACAGTAAAGAAGGGGATATCAATAATCTCAAAGCTAAAGGATCCATTGGAATCAGAGATGAAACATTAGAAGCATCTGTCAACAACGTCTTTAGTTCAAGACGACTCTTGACTGACTTATCCATCAGAAACCCATACACAGAAGATATTGATGTGCATCTAGATTTCAACGGGAGACCAACCAACTTCAAAAATCAGATGTCTGCCAGCATAGGCACTGGTGGTTCCATCTCAACTGACTCATCCTTCCGGGTTAGAAATGGTGATATTGACATCAGCTCAGGATTTACCTTCAATCTGGCAGGACTTGGGCAGACAGGAAACATCAAATTCCACAAAGAAGGGGAGCTGAGGAATATGAAGATGAGTATCAATGGTGACTACAACCAGAGGAAAGCAAGTATGAAGGCCGAATTCAGAGCAATGGATGATGTTCATGGTGAGGTCAAAATCTTAACACCATTCAGACCATACAGAAACATTGGCTTCTCTTTTGATCACTCTGGTACATGGAATCGTTTTACTTCTCAAAGTATGGTCAAATTCATGGACAGGAGACAGATCACCGCGAAAATCAACCATTTCAACCATGAGCTTGATCGTCTAGAAAGTAGCTTAGAAATCAATACACCTTTCCAAGGCTATGAATTCACCAAGGCTGAGATCGATCACACTGCAACAACTAATGGAATCAACTGTAATGCTGCTGTACAGTATGCACAAGGGCAGAAACTTACAGGAGAACTCCATGCAACAACCTCACCAAAGTATGACGTGGAAGTCAAACTGACTACACCGTTTAGAAAATATGAGGTTCTCTCTGCATCCACATCATTTGAGTATGGTATTGAAAGATACAATCTAGAGAGCAAACTGAATGCTGGAAACGGCAATCGCTTTGGTCTTGAGTCAACTATTGACATGTCTACCACGCCCTACACTGCTGTTGCACGAATCTCAACACCATTTGAAAACTTGGATTCTGCTGAGATCTCTTTAACACATGCTGGTGAACTGAGGAAGTTTAGGTCCACAGGCACCATACAAACTCCAATGACTGGTATTCTCACAGGTGAAGCATCTCTCGGCTACTCATCTCCATTAGAAATGGAAGGTTTAATATCTCTTTCCAATGATATCAAACTGGCTCTTCACAACACCATCAGAAACAAGAAATACCAATCTCACATTGAGGCGTCATGGAGCCCCAGGGACCAAATAGCTTTTGATGGATCCTACCAATTCCTTGAAATATACAATGAGAAACAACTGACAACAGATTTCACCCTTGTTACGCCATTTGAAACTGCAAAGGTGACTGCTCTTAGGTTTGAACATCATCAAGGATCAGACAAATATACAGAGAAGCTGGAAGCCGATTACAATGGTGACACTGTTCTGGATATGGACATGGAGATCTCCCGAGGCTCAAGGGAGCAGGGAACATTCACAATGAGGACACCAAGACCAATGCAGCTGACTCTTTCAGGGGAAATAGCTGATAAGAACATCGATGGAGAGATGTTTGTCAACTGGGACAGAGATGAACCCGAGAGCAACATCCGAATCCAGACCACACTGACAGATAGGAGCAGACAGTCTCTTTTGAACAAAGACCTGACACTAAAGTTTATCCATCCATCCCGCACTGTTGGTATCATTGGAAATGTCCTCACTTCACAGCTCCAGACAAAGAGTCGTGGAGAATTCATCTGGAATGAAGATGCAGGTCACAAACTATTCTATGATGTGGATGTAAAGGATCGTAGCCGTCGCTACAGCAAGATGTTTGATGGCTCCTTCAAAGTGGGATCCCCTCTGAGAAGTCTCCAAATGGATGGGTCTTACAGTCAGACAGGTGCAAGCCAAACTGTGGATGGAGCCTTCTCCTGGGATGCAGACAGAGATGACACAAAGAAGATTGGCATGAAAGCAGTCCTCACACCTGGTGACAAAAACAAGCAGGCAGACCTCTCTCTCAGACTTCCTTCTATTGGCAAGGTAGGAACACAACACATTACTTACACTGGACTTTTAATTTCAAATTGATGCTTTGATCTTATCATAGGAAAATGTCATGATGAATAGTAAACCTTAATGATATGTTACCATATTTAGAACACATTCGTATCTGTTGCAAATATTCTTCAGAACATCCAGATCGACACAGAAATGCTGCTGAATGATGGCAGGACTGTCTTCAATGGAAAAACACAAGTGTCCTACTCCAGTGACTCCCGAAAAACCCTCACCCTTACATCTCGAATGGATGACATTTCCTATGGCTATGGTAACACCAACTACAGCTTTGTGGTTGGCATTAGCCACCCATATACAGATGTGGACGTCAAACTAACATCCCATATTGGTAGCTCCAGTGAGAAAGTATCTGCTGGAACTGGAATGACCTACCTGACAGCCAGGAGGGAAAGAAAGAACTTTGCCCTCAGAGGAGAGATCAACAAACTAAGAAAGCAGATACAACTGCAGGTGACAATGACTATACTATAAAAACAAAAGTTAAAGTTATAATTAGAATCTTGAGATGAAAATGGTGTCTAAACATATTTGTGAATATATAATATTTATGTTTATCTTCATAACTTTAAAAGTTATTGTAAAGTTATAATTCAAGTCTCATGACAAAAATAGTGTCTAAGTATTGACGTGAACATAAGTAACATAGCTCCCGCTTTTTACAGATGGAGACCCCAATCAAGAACATGGAACTTTCTGGTGAGATGGAGGAGACCCCTTTCAAGCTGAAGATCAGGAATATGTATGGGGAAAAGATTGTCCAAGCCCACCTTACTGTTGATGCTGAAAGGAGAATGGTGGACTTCCAAACTAACTACGATCTGGGTAGGTTCTAAAATATTCATGTTCCCTTCATGTTTGATCCCGTTTCATCAAACGTATGGATTTATTTAGACCAAGCATTCAAACTATGACTGAATAACACACATTTTCTTTTACAGACAACCCTGGAAAAACACTGAACATGAATGCCAGATATGTCAACTCAAGTGCCATGCAGGCTGAGGTTTATCATCAGGAGAATTCCCGTCGAGTGTCTGATAGTCTAGTTGCACTCAGACTCAACACATCCCGTCTGCTCCATACCAGGATATCCTGGAGGCCACAAATGATCGCCGATGTTCAGGTAGTAAATGCTATTATATGTAATTGCTACACATGAAATTATGAAAATCTAAACATGCCATAAACATTCCAATATGTGAGGGTTGTTTTTATAAATGAGTACCCTTGCATTTTTAAAGGAATACTTGACCAAGAAGGTGGAGACATATGGGCAAAATACAAAGACCGCTTTCCACTCTGTGTACGAGTCTGTGGGACAGGAGTTGTCAGGCAAGTACCACCGGATTGCACAAGCCACCAAGGAGGAACTGTCTCCTTACCTAACCATGTTGGAATCAGAAATGGCTACCATAGAGAAACAGCTGGACTCTATCAGGAGGGATGTCAAGCGCATGTACGACCGTAATGACTTCTACATGGCAGCCATGGGAGATCACTTCAACCAGGCATTGTAAGTATATCAGTGATTTCATTGATGTAAAGTTGGGTATAAATTTATGGTAATAATAATAATAAGTATAACCTTGTCAGACACTACACAGGACACTGCACAGGATACACAGGATAACACATACCCACTGAAATAACTCGGAAACAAGTTGATAACCGAGTGGAAACTTCTTTGTTTCAGCCAAGCCTACAAGGATCTTGTGACTTCGACAAAGGAAGTGTTTGCTTCCACTAATCAGAAACTAGCTGAATATATGGAGGAGATGACAAACGTCCCCATTGGACAGAAATATCAGGCTATCGTTGCTGAAACACTCGTCAACTTTAAGGTTTGTTACCCTTCCATGCTTACCCTTTTCGCGAACACCTGGTGTCACCATTGTTTTCAGCGATCCACGTTATGATTTTCACCCTTATTTTGCCTTTTACGCCCAGTTGAATCTGTTTTGGTGGACAGCAAGTTATTCTCTGGTGTTGATATTATATATGTGATGTAGTTCTCCATTCATTTCTCAATGCAGCGTGGTGTGGACGAGCTTGTCATAAACACTGTTGAAATGATATCGGGGCTTGATGAACAGCTGCAGAGTTTGAGGAACACTTATCATCATCATTACAATAACCTGCGGACTTCTATTACAGGTAATTCTTTGGTACTTATTATTAGTGTGTGCTTTTGCTTCGAGGGGTGGTTGGGTAGCCAAGTAGTTAAAGCGCCTGCTGGTCACGCTGAATGCCCGGATTCGATTCCCCACTTGGGTACAATGTGTGAAGCCCATTTCTGGTGTCCCCCGCCTTGATATTGTTCGAATATTGCAAAAAGGGGTTTACAAACATACTCAATTACTCACTTTCCTTCGGCGATCAATGTAAAATTACCATTATCGTGAAAGTTCATTTTTACATTAGATTGCACCTTTTCTTAGACCTGAAGAACCATCCTCGATTGGCGACCATCAGGCTTCAGTTTGCTGACAACTACCAGAAATACCTCAACACCATCACCAACAAAGTACAGGATCTTAACATCCCTAGCAGATACAACACAATTGTAGAACACACACAGAAGATGCTGACCTCCCGCCTGGGAGACATCATGAAGAGGGACGACCTCCAGCATCTGCTTTCTCTTACTAATGATGCTTACCAAGAGGTCAGTCCTAACGTTGTCTGCTTGATGTAAAACTGTTATTGTGTTCGTATATTATAAGCCAATTTATCTTTTCAAGTTCTAAGTATGTTGGCGCAGACTGAAAGAAACTGTAACTTTAATGGCTTGTCAATGATTAACAGGGTGTGTGGGCATTTAACTACTGGCAAGTAGAGGAAAACCTCAAGCAGCACCTGCAGAGCATCTATGACATCCTCAAGGAGATGGTTGAGGAGGAGGTTCAGAAGTACAGGGAACAATTGGTGTTTCTGGAAAAGTCCAAGGTCACAGTTTGGGATCCTCAACATGGTGAAATTCAGATAGAATTATACTTGCCCATCCCAGTTCAATCTCTGGACACACTTCCAGAAATCCAGACGTATGTTCAAAAGGCAAAGACTGCAATCAGCACCTACATCCCAGACAGGGCAACATACCAGAGAGTAAGTAACTTAACGTAGATTACCACAGTGTGAAACAAGTCGAGCGGCTACCAGATTTGCAGAGTCAAGAGTTTTACTTATGTATTATTTATCATATACATCCCCGAGGATATACCTATGCCATTGACGTTTAAATTGATCTTGAACCTATTTATTATTTGAATATCCTGTTTTAACAAGAGTATTTTGTTCAATTTTCAGTACATTCCAAAGTCATTGTGGCAGACACCTAATGCTACAACCAGAATGAATGGTGAAATAAAAGTAAGTAGGACATGAGGTTTTTAGGGCACCGTGTACTTAACATCTCTTTTTAATATCTTAATTTACATTTGCAGTTAACCAAGTCATTTTGCTCATAATTGATATGCTCGTTCCTGATATGAGACAATGAACAATAAAAAACAATCATTCTGAAGTACGCATACGGTGGTAGAAATCAATTCATTCAAAGAATCGGATAGATCAACTTAAAATGAAACAGCTTACATATTTACATAACTTTTCACTCTTTTGCAGACCTTGCCAAACGCTTCTCAGAGACGTCCCTTGAGAAGGTACAACGCCATCCGTCTCTAGGACTACGACGTTCCAACGCCAACTTACCCCCTCACGGAAAAATGATCTAGGCATATTTATTGACTATTTATAATACCTAACGTTTTGTGTAAAGTGAATGTTACTTGTAAACTATACTGAACAGTTGATACCAACAGAATATCTGGTTGTCATACCAATCTTCAGAATGACAATAATAAAAACATATTATATTTGCTGGTTTATAAACAATTCCTTAACGTGGAATGTGCTATTAGTCCATTGTTCAGTAAAGGTTACAGTTAGTGTGACATAGCAGCATGTATTAATTCCCTTCCAAGTCCTAAAATAAATATTTGCATTCAAAGTGTGTCTCCGTATATTCTGTGGTGTTACATCTTTACTTTCTATCATGGAATAACCGGATTATTCAAGTATTTGCCATACTCATCACATACTATGTAATGGCATTGGTAAAGTATCTTCTTGTCATCTGTCATTGACATGACAGTTCAAACTGTATGGTGTCATTACAAATAACACTTTCTACTTTCAAGAGATGTCATAGTAGTTCAGTGTTGCAAGAGACATAAGAACACACTGTCTCACAAGAACACACTGTCTCACGAGACACAAGAACACACTGTCTCACAAGACACAAGAACACACTGTCTCACAAGACACGAGAACACAATGTCTCACAAGACACAAGAACACAATGTCTCACAAGACACAAGAACACAATGTCTCACGAGACACAAGAACACATTGTTTCACGAGACACAAGAACACACTGTCTCACAAGACACAAGAACACACTGTCTCACAAGACACAAGAACACACTGTCTCACGAGACACAAGAACACAATGTCTCACGAGACACAAGAACACACCGTCTCACAAGACACAAGAACACACAGTCTCACAAAACACAAGAACACTGGTCCAAATGTGGTTTCCATCATGTTGTACTGCTGTTCTCACCCTGAACTATGTATGTCTGTCATGGGGTAAATAAAACCTGAACCAGTGATGTTTAAATATGTTACACAATATTTAATTATTTTGGTAGTCTCGAATAGTATTTCTCCTCTGTCCCATCTATGGATTTCAATACCTCTACAGATGTAGTGTATAAATAATGGTTTTAGTCTGAAGACAATTGCTTCTGGTATTTAGCTAAAGAAAAGAGGTGAATTGGATGCTCTTTCGGAATGTTTAAGGTGATCGAACTTATTAATATATCGAAATTATGGGCAGAAGTCTTTGTGAGTTAATACGAACGACAAAACCCTTTCCATATTGGTGAGAAATCTTTGTAAAAACAGAGTCCATTGTACGATTCCGATTAAATCAGAAGCGTGTGTTTATGAATCACTATCAAATAGTGACGATGCTATGTATTCGCGAAACGTTCGCCAACAGTAGCACCCGTCACAAACACATGCAAAGGCAAAGTAATAGTTTGCCTGAAAATACACGGGAATATAAAAATTATGTTACAAGTCAAAATAGGGAATTGCATCGGATATCATTTTTTGTCACTGATGCGTCAAATTTGGAAATGTCCTCCTCATGTCTACAATAAAACTTTTTGAAAGCTTTATTCAGGCATTGACTGTTATGACCTTGATGAAACAGCTTTTGAGCAAGAATCGTATGAGGCTCTTGGAAATCTTGGTATAAAGAGCATGTTCGATTGTACCTCAAAAGTTGTGAAAAATAGACACCAATTGCAATGCTGGAGCTGTTGCAATATTGCTCGACAAAAATAGAAACTTGACCAGAAAGTTGAAGTTATCCCTTTTGTCATACAGCCTTGTGGGTAGCTTTTTGTCACTCTGAATCTTTATGCATAAGTTTAGATAAGAAACAGGTGAGACGGTCTCACTGGTTTTCTTTTATGTCGACTTCAGGTGGGTAAATCAGAGAAGAGAATGGGATATTTCACTTCTTTGGAACTATATCAGATCATCGATACACCTGAGCTAAAAGGGCAATTGGATTTTGCAGATTTAAATACTTTAGGGCATACTTAATCACAAATGCTGGACCAAAAGGAAATTAGAAAAAGCGAAATAGCGTAATACAGACGTAATACGTCAAAAAGACCACCCCTTACTGTGGCGGCCGGTGGTTTACTTGGGGTCTTCCTCACTTGTTACGGGCACAACTTCACATGATCGTGGTAAGACAATTGGGGATTAAGGGGAGCAACTCACATATGACACAACTAATTGGTGAACTATATTTACATAAACAATACTGAGTGAAAAAGTTTATATGGCCGCGCCCAGTCAACACGACCTGATCGATATTCGAGATCTATATTGTGATAAAACAGGTCTTACATCGCGAAGTGCATCAAATCACGTGAGCACCTTGATTAAAAACACGAAAAGATTAGGAAAATAGCACAAGTAAGAAGTCTCCGTAGTCTCTCTAGTTTTTGATAATCCACATGGTATTAATTCCACTTGTCTCAACACTTCGTATTTCTTTATTTGTATTAAGGATTAATTATTCTTTTAGTCAGGGATTTGGTGGTACATTTCTTGGACCCAGCAAATATATCTCTCTTTGTACGGACTTTTATGGAGCTTTAAAATCCAGTACACAAGATGAAAGGACATTTTTACAGCTTTCAGAACCAAGTGAAAAGTTGATAGTACTCGCCCAGGGTGTTGACATATTTCTTCCTCATTTGACCGCCTCCGTGGTCTTGTGGTAGAGCGTCCGCCCGGAGAGCGGAAGGTCCAGGGTTCGATCCCGGGCCGCGTCATACAAAAAGACGTTAAAAGATTGTACTTGTTGTTACCCTGTCTGGCGCTCGGCATTAAGGGGCTAAAACAAGGACTGGTCGGCTCGGAGTCAGTATACTGTGTCTGAGTGGGGTATTCATGTTAAACTGCGGCATGGTATCTCAGTGAGCTAGCACTATAAATCGGCATCAGTCCGGACTAGTACAAGCAGCCACACACACACATACACGTGCATGCACGTCGCTATATAAGTGCAATAATCTTGGACGCGACGTTAAACTCAATTTCACCTCACCTCTTCCTCATTTTACATACACTGGCCTTATATGTGGCATTATTTGAAATGAGAACACTTTTTATTGTATACTTAAGTGTGAAAGACTGAGTTTTCCGAAGTTGAGAAAAGTGATATTTTCATTGTAGTGAACATAATATTTGATATTTCACTGCACTGAACATGACAGTTGATATTTCACTGCAGTGAACTTGATATTTCACTGCTGTCTGTGAGCATATCACTAGTCATACAAGAGTGACCTCCCCTCAAAGTGTCTGGCACGTTCATAAACTGCTGACTTCCTTTTCACGTTAGTTCCACATTGACAGATGGTCATTTATGTAGTTAATATCGCTTTGTGGTGTTTGTTATGCTCTTGAAAATGGTCCGTTATAAACTGTAAATGTCTCACTTAACTTGTCAATCGAGACAAATCGCAATGCGCCATTTTTGTTACTTGACCAGAGTGTATTCTTTTGCTTCCAACAGAATATTTTCTTGTAAAAGTGGATTTTCTTTTATAATCATATCTACTGAATTTTCGCGACCCTAAATAATTTTTGTTACTTTTGTTTATATTTTATATGATTTTGTAATCACGCGGAAAAGGCGACACATGCAATATCTTCTATATGTTAACGACGGTAGGCAAAAACAAAGAACATATCAAGACATTCTGCCAAGTGAGGTGTTACACCCATCTCACAAATATTATACGTCATTTTAATCTCACGTTAATATGCTATGACATTCCATCTACGTCTCCATTTACTACAAATAGATTAATAAATGAGTCACCTTTAGATACCGTGTAAATACAAGTGTATTTCAATACGTTTTGAAATTGACCAGATGGTTGCCAAATTGAAAGAAGGAAATAACTCTAACTCCATGCTCTTATTCATGGAATGTGGACCATCCGTATTGTACCGAGTGACAGTGTAAGTCAAACCCATGCGATGTAAGATGTCTACGGTCAATAGCATTATTAGCAACATTAATCTAATGTATATAACACAGTACATTTTATCTGTGACTAAAGGCATGACAACATGTTTTGTTGTAGACATCAATATGTTCACGGGAAACTCGCCACTATCACCCCGCACAATATCAACAGGACTTGATAGTTTAACACCAATAAAATAGTTGCATGCCGACATTTGTATGTTTTCAATGTCTAAGTTTATATCACAATAGTTACCCGATGAAACGCACTCATTTGCCATATTCTTTTCAAATTTAGAAAGAACATCACGTTTATAAAATCAAGTTTTGATTTGTCTAAATTAACTATCAAATCAGATTTGAGTATACGAAAAAACGCTCGGTTCTTAAAAACGAAAATACGCTCAGTGAATGAAAAATGCGAACGTGTTATTTCTGGATGAAACTCTAAACTTGCGTGCGTGCGTGCGTGCGTGCGTGCGTGCGTGCGTGCGTGCGTGCGTGTGTGTGTGTGTTTCTGTGTGTTTCAACATCAACAAGTACCGCGCGTAATATCAAACATATGATGTGTTTGTAGTATTATTAATTTGAAGGAACTATTCATATATATTGTTAGACCATCCCCATGGTGTAAAGGATAGAGCGCTTGTCCGTTAGGGGTTCGATCCCATGGCCACGTCAAACCAAAAGACGTTAAAAGAGTATGCTAGCTGTTACCCACTCTGGCGTTCGGCCTCAAGGGGATAAAACAGGGACTGGTCGTCGACTCGTGGTCCGTGTACTGTGTCTGAGTGGGGTATTCATGCGGCATGATGCGATGTGCTGAGAAGAAACATGCCTATCCTGACGAGTGATAAGGTAGATCATTGTCACCCCTCAACGTTATGTACAGTGGGAAATGCAAGACTGACAGCAGACTGCTCGACACTCATCAACATTTGTTCAAGTCTCTCATTTCCTGCAAATGTTTGGCTACCAAACCATATTTTCGAACCATTATTTAAGAAAATATGTTTGTTTTAATTTATCTTATAAAACAAACTCTGAATAGAATAGAAGTTTATTTAGATGACAATATAGTTATTTTTTCCTTATAAGTATAACAACTGTGCTCTTTCATATAGACCTTAATTCATTCGTAGTGCATCTGTATCACTGATTACAGTATCTAACTGTAACAAAGATCATCTACAGATTAATAGAAGGTTAACCACAACAAATTCCGAAACGATAAGAAACGTTGGATAGTTTAATCTAACATCAGAATACACCAACTTCTTTGATTTTACCAATTCATACATTGAACATGAATTAGAAAGAATTGTATTATTTTCAACATTAATAGCGATTTAAAAGAGCTATGTAAAAGGAATGTTATGATACGTGTGCCTGGTGTATGAATATCCTGTTATCAGCTTTGACTCGTACATACCTTGACGGATTACATTGAAATGCTTGTTGTTGCGATTAAATGCACCAAGTGGGGTCAGGATCGGTGATATGGTTCATGGCATGTCAGTGTATCCGAACGGCACTGCAGATTGGCTTCCCAAGCACAGAACAGATTCTTTATTGACCACTGTCCCATAGCTGTAATACTTTTGAGTGCTGCAGTGTATCTGAACTCAAATGCCTTCAGCATGCAGACTTACTTTCCAAAAAGTATACAGATGCTTCCATGTTTACACCATTCTACTAAATTTAATCTTTGACAAAAATACAAACTGGCACCTCAACACTTTACCTGTAATGAAACGTAGTTCACAGTTTATAACATTGAAATACGGTCACAGAACAAAGTCTAAATCTAACTAACCTTTGCTACTCGTGACGTTGATACACATACATAATACTTCAGCATATGCTGATTGACATGCCCCAACTCAAGACGTGTAATCAGGAGTTAATCGCAATGCCCGTTGATCTACAATATTTATATATAGATTACTGTATCTCCATCTGACTACGCCGTGGTCAAAAGTCACTGATACAGCAAGTCAGCATGTGCAATAGGTGTCACCTTTGGCCACCCCACTTCTGATACCTGTATATAAAACTCAACAGTGGGCATTGGCTTCAGAAACCACGACGAACGCTGTGACACACGTTCCATTACACTTCACGGTGTCAAGCAAGCAGCCAACATATAGACACACGACTGCGGGAAGGGTCTCCCCAAGAACCCAACACAATGTATTCAACAACAGCCTTTACGCTGTTAGCTCTGCTAGCAAGTGCACTGGCAGGTAAGTCTTTAGACTTTGAATTTGTACCCGCACTAGTGGAATGATATATTTCAGGTTGTTGTTTTTTTGACGGACCAGGTCGAATAAGGTCCCTTTTGGGACCACATGATCTGCTTGATTTAAGAATTGAGAAAACTATTAGAGTTGTTATGAAAGTTATCAGGTGTGTTAATATATACATTAGACTTTCTTCATTACATTTTTGGGAATTGTGACAACACTAGATGAACCAGGTCCATTTTAGAGATGTTCAGGAAGCGTGTTTCTAATATTTGACCAAAGAGCAAATCTTTAATCCAAGCTTATTTTCATTGGATATATAGTTTGTTGGTTGGTTTGTTGTTTTATGCCGCACTCAGCAATATCAAGCTATTCTGTATTTGATCATGTGCGAAGTTCAAAACATGCACCGGTAAGGATGAACAATAGCTATCGGTAAGCCATTTGAACTTTCTGATATTTTCACATCAGTGATTCAAAGGTATCTGCAACATCATTTGACATTTCCAGAGGAGAAAAAACTCATCATTCTTGCTCATCATTTTGAATGGTTACATGTTCGCGTTCTTCATTACCTATTTGTCGATTGGTATAAGCCTTAACGTGAGCTATTAATGTTGAAATTTATCACCTAAGGTATTCAGTTATAGGCTCCCTTTTCATATACTTTTAGTTCATTGTTTAGTTCAAACAACGTTACAAGTTGACCCTTGAAATATCGAGCTCTTAGGTTATTGGTAACTAAGTGTTGTAGGTTCAAACGTTCCATGTGTGTGAGGTCATAGTACAACGTGTTACAACTCTTCATCAAAAGAATTTCTTTCCACCATACCAATCCTGACAAGGATTTCATAGTTTCGCATAACTACTTTTCTATACCATTCATTTCTCTATATATTGTTGATTAAACATGATATTTTATACTAGGGCCAATCACCTACCAGTCACGCGACGAAACGACATCCTGCGCCAGACGATGCCGAGGTAAGTAAAATAGCTTAGTTTCTAATGACTGATAATCTTGTCTTAATCTACATATCTATAATCAAAACTGTTTGAAAAAAACATATCGATGTTTGTGGATAGAACTAATATCAGTTGTTTTCATTTTTGTGTCAGACATGAACAAGTTCAACTACCTCCCAGGAACAACCTATGAATTCGACTATAATGTTCAGACACATACATCTATGGAAGGAGCTTCTGGTGATCAAGCGACTCTTGGTATCCGGGCAACTGCTGACATTGAGGTGCTGTCAAAGTGCGACATGGCTCTTAGGGTAGGTGGAAGTACAAACATTCATTAGAGCAATGTCCAATACACCATAACATTGTGAGAAATATGTGGGATGTGTAAAAAAAGGCATCTTTCTTTTATTGTAACATTTTACAAACATGTGTTTCAGCTGCGAGATGTGAAGGTATATCAGTCTGATCCATCAACCTCTACACCAATGAAATACGCTGATGGGTCAGGCGAGTTCAGAAGGAATCTAGAGCGATTCCCCCTCCGCTTTTCCTTCCAAGATGGCATAGTAGAAGAACTGTGTCCAGCTGAGGGTGAAACCACATGGGCTCTCAACATCAAGAGAGGTCTTCTCACTGCTGTCCAGAACAGTATGGATAACCTGGAAAAGAACCAGATAGTACAAGAGGTAAAACAAACATGTTTTTCTTGTGTTTTAAAACTGTATTATGTATAATTTGTATAACATGCATGTATTGGGATACATATGCATAAGTTCTATCCTTGATGTCCCCAGAGTGACGTCACAGGCGAGTGCAACACCAACTACACAGTGGCATCACATGGCTGGTACTCTACAACAATTAAGAAGACCAAGGATCTCCTAGGTTGCACTGATCGTAATGGTTATCACAGTTCCGTCCATGGCATGCAGTACAGAGTTCCTTCAGAGATCCAGTCTCTGCCCCTCATGAAGAGTACACACGAATGTGAACAAGAACTGGACAAGAATGGACTCCTCAAGAGTGCGCTCATCCGGGAGACTCACACATTCAGACCTTTCTCCAGGGCCACCAGCGGTGCCACCACCAAAATCCTTCAGAGACTCAACTACAAGACTCAGAGATCTGGTGTTACCACAAGACAAGGTGATCAGTCTATACATCTCATTGTGCTAGTTTCGCCGATGACACAATACTTAAAGAACATTAAATACATATAATCATCATCTTTAATAAATGTTCCTCATGGTCGTACATACTTAATTTATTATTTACACGTTCTAGATTACATTCGGAATCGGGTAGGAGTTGTGTTTGAACATGCCTATGGACCAGGAAACAAAGACCAACCAATGAGAGATGCTGAGAGTAAACTGCGAGAGATCTGTCAGAATACACGCGAGGATATCCGCCCCGACACTCCACGCTTGTTCTCTGAGCTTGTCTACATCATCAAAAATCTGGATGTTGATACTCTTAGAAGTGTCTACCAGCAAGTAAAGTCTGGAGCTATCTGCACTGACAACAGCGAGAGAGTCAAGTTAGTATAAACACTTGAAGTGACACAAACATATTGCATATCATATATACCATTCCTGAAAATCCTTTCAACAACAATCCTTGATAAACATCTGTACATCCTTTTTTATTAATCCTTCAATTTTGGTTGCTTCTAGGAAGTTTTTCCTGGACACTATCCCGATGGCCAGTACACGTGCATCTGTTACGTTCTTGAAAGAAATTCTGCTAAAACGAGAAGTCACTGGTGCACAGGCAACCATGTGGATCACTTCCCTGTCTCTCATCCACTACCCAACACTGGAGATGTTGCAGGAAGTAAAGGTGAGCTGTTATTCACATCTCAGAAAAATCCCTAAAAGCAGTCAAAGAGACCTTCTTCCAAATCTAATATTCTCTCTGAATCTATTTATTTGTAGGCGCTTCTTGACACCCCACAGTACAGCAAGGTGGCCATGCTTCCGATCTCCACTATGGTCAACAACTATTGCAACCATCATGAAGCTTGTTCTGAGGAATCCACTATCACACGTATCATCTCTACCATGGAGAAGACCATTGGTTATGGCTGCTACATCAGAGGTTCTAATCTGGAGACTAGTCTTGTTGCACTTCGTGCTCTCGGAAATGCAGGCCATGTGGACAGACTGACCACTACGCTTAGCAGCTGCTTCAACAAACAAGCAAACCCCATGGAGGTCCGAGTAGCTGCCATCCAGGCCTACAGAAGACTACAATGTACTGCTGATGTAAGTTATGGAACTGTATACGAAACTCACCAAGACATATGATATTTGCTACATTTAAATGTCAATAATTATTTAATAAAACCATAATGTCACAACATGTGTTTCATTCTAGAGAAGTGAAGTAATGACCATCTACCAAGATTCTGATGAGGACTCTGAGTTGAGAATTGCTGCCTACTTGGCTGTGATGCAGTGCCCATCTGAAGACATCTTGAGTACAATCCAAGGAACTCTCGAATCTGAGAAAGCTAATCAAGTTGGAGCCTTTGTCTGGTCTCATCTTACCAACCTGATGGAAACATCCAGTCCACAGAAACAGACCATCAGACGAATCCTGGAGGACAAAACCCTCGGAAGGAATTTCGACCTCTCAACACTCAAGTATTCACGCAACTATGAAGGCTCTCTATTTCTGGAGAAGTTCAACACTGGTGCCATGCTGGAAAGTAATGTCATCTTTTCAGATAAATCCTTCGTTCCTCGTTCTGCTATGCTCAACATGACAGTTGATCTCTTTGGGAATTCTCTCAATCTGTTTGAGCTGGGTGGACGCATGGAAGGAGTGGAGTATCTCATTGAGAACTACCTTGGCCCATACAGCTACTTTGGAGGAAAGGCAGCCAAGAAACCAAAGGTGCTTTTCTTATATATCCATCATTTAATTCTCTCTTAAGTCTAAGGGCACACACAATACTTTTGTGTTAAGAGCCATTCAAACATTTAGTACAGAACAATATACATGTATTTCAAATTGCTATTGGTTTCAGAGCAATGTCAACCTTGATCACCTCAGAGGAGACTTGTACATGAGGATCTTTGGCAACGAAATGTACTATGATCATTTCAAAGGCGTAGATCCATTGGCATCTATCAAGAACTTCAACTTTCTTGACTTCCTCATCAAGATGTCCAAGAAACAAGACTACTCTTTCACTCAGAGTATGATGATCCTTGACAGCAGCATGATCATCCCCACAAGCTCCGGTCTTCCCCTCAATCTCACCGTCAACGGAACAGCAACCATCGACCTTCAGGCCTCTGGTCAAGTCGACCTCCGAAAAATGACAACTTCACCAAGCAGTCTCCTCATTGATGGACACATCAAGCCAAGGTTAATTTTAAGTATTCAGTCCTTTTTAAGAAAATATTGATGTTATCACATTTGCCATGCAACTGTCCTTAAAATATAAGTCTGAAACCATTGCCCTCTTTTTCAGTGGAGCTATCAAGATTGTTGGCACGATGAGCATGGATGCCTTCGTTACCAAAACAGGTCTTAGAGTTGTCAACACCTGGCATTCCAGCACTGCCTTGAAAGCGCGTGTAGAACTCAGCCGAGGAAAGATTCTTAGTGCAGACATTGACTTTCCTCAACAGAAGATGGAAATCCTAGATGTCAAGTAAGCATTTCTAATATTCAGGCTCTTCTATATATAAAAAATTCCCTTTTTATACACAAGCAAATATATTAAGATAACTGTTATGCCTTTGCTTAGGAAACAACACTTCATAATCAATCTACTACTACATTAAGTGATAGAAACTAAGAAATATTAATAATGATAATACGTCCACTTGTAACACGCTCAAACTCCGCAACAACGTACTCATGGGCATCTACACAAAACGGAAAGAGATTATGGGATGTTAGAATAAAGTTTGAAAATATATATCTTAGCTCTGAATTGTACCAAAGAGTCAGCATATCTCAAGAAGTCAGGCATATTATGCAAGTTATAAGCAGCTGCTACTCCAAAAGAGTGATATCCAAATGTTTTAAAGTTTATAAGCGGGGATAGGAATGAGTGAGCGGACAAGAGTAGTTGCTGCTTCCTCCATGATCAGTGAGTGAATAGTGCCAAAATTATTAATACAATCAATCAAAACATGATATTCAACATTTTTATGGTCTAATATTTCCTTCCATATTCTACAGCACAGAGTTCTTCAGCATTCATGGTGATCAGGAGAAGAAACAAGACTTGGTCTCAGGCAACAGAAAGAAGCTGGAACTGTGCACAGGAGCCAGGCTTGCCACAATTACCGGCCTTGAGCTCTGTAATGAGTTCCAGTGGCCTAATGCTTCTATGGTGGATAATGCTCCATACTTCCCCTTCACAGGGCCCTTCTCCCAAAGCCTAGTTCTTTACAAGAGGGACACACACACTGGCTACAAGCTCATGGCTAAACAATCAGTGGTGAGTTTGTAAATGAGTTCTTCTTTCAAAACAGTCACACGTTTCGGTGGTATGTGAATTTGTTACAGAAGAGACATTATGACATACATTTGTATGAACTAAGAAGTTCTCTGCTGAGAAAGCATCTTTACCTAACTGAGCAACTAAGTTTTATTTTAATGGTAAAAAATGTATATTTTTCTTTTTCAGAATCAGTATTCCTCTGTAGCTCAGATAGCTGTGAACACACCTGGATCCAGAACTGACCGATCTTTGGCTTTCGACTTTCTTCTAAATAAAAAAGATAAAGACCTTGAAATCAACCTAGCATCCCCATGGAAGAAGGCAGCATTCAAAGGTGTGTTGTTTGAATTGAGCCTCATTTGCTGTCACATTTGAAGAAACATATAACTTTGTGATTTATTATGCTTAGATTGATAGTAATACTTTTCATGTCATACTACAGGGTCCATGGCATATGAAAGTAACAAGATAGGCACAAGGGGCAATCTGATTGTCGATGAATCTTCAGAATATGGTATCATCAGTGAAGTGGGTATCAAGAAAGTAAAGACATTTGTGACCTACATCCCCCGACTGGAGATCAGACGTCCTGGAGCCAAAGTCATCCTACTCAGTGGCACAGTTGAGGCTGAAGCACTCAAGAGAGCCAGTGTTGAGTTAACCCTTGCTGGGGTAACACCAAATGCAATCAGCTTTAGATGTAAGTTCACTTTTCAAAACTAACAATTATTCAATAAAACCATAGCACGTCAACATAAAAACACAACTAAACACCATTTTTCATGTTTCTTTTATCTTACTTTACTTTTGCAGCTGCCTTACTAAACTCTAAAATTGAGAAGAGTGTGATGGGTACCTTCAATCTTGCTCCAAAGCAGGACTACGTTCTCGAGGCTGGTTTGGTGTACCAGAACAGTGGCAGGAAGAAGTCCATCATCAAGGTCATCCCAACATTGACGGTGAAGACCCCAAAAGTTGAGGTCGTCTCACTCTCTGGTTCAGGAGACTACAAAGAGGGCAAATCACTCAAGGGCAGTCTGTCTCTAGATGTCCACAAGGTCTTGACCAAACCAATCACTCTCAAATGTAAGTGTTATGGAACGGAACATGCCTCAAAGAAACTAACTTAAGGAATATTTAGGGATGCAGACATATAGTTCACAATCACAATTTAGTATCAGATATTCACAAACCTGTGGATATTGATATTTAGTAATCTAATATTAATGAGTGGAGAAACATGTATATGTTAGTACTTAACTCCGTTAACCAGGTAAACTGAAATTTTCAATGGTTGATTACTTTGCTGTTGCAAATGATGATGAATAATTCCAAATAACAAACATTTAACCACAGTATCTAGTGAAGATTATGATTATTAATTTATGCATATATGTCCAAATCAGGTAACATCAAGAAGACAGGTGGTACCAAAAGCAAGTACACTGGAAGTGTAACGGTGTCCTCCCATTTTCTGGTCACCAAGGTTAGTGGCAACGTGCAGACCAAGATGAACACAGTCAGCTCCTTTATAACTCTCGACTACAACCTGCCTAAGATCCGAAGTATCAAGAAGGACAAGATCACATTCAGCTCTAAATACACTGATCGTAGCACCAAGTCCCTCTGGAACTACCAGCTCAACACGTAAGTTACATTTGTAAACATTGACATATCAACCTCTTATACACGAGGACAGTGTCACAACCTTAGTAATTGCAAAGTTGAATTGCAAACGTATGCATCATGTGTGTAGACATTATGATTTTTTCCAGAAACTTCGAAGACAAGAGATTCCCTCAGGTGAACTTCTTCACAGATATGGACTTCTCTCACAACAAGAAACACACAGAAGCTGGTGCAACCTTCAGATATGGACCCAAATCCAAGGACTCCTCCCGCCAGATCACAGGTTATGCTCTAGTCAACCATGACATGGGCTCCAAAGCCAAAGTTGACTACACAATGAAAACTACTCTGGGACCACTGGTAAGTCATTTGATTGTACATAGCATAACAATAAGGCCAAATATACAGCTAAAAATCAACTAAACATAATAAATAATAATATTATAGTTATATACCAAAGAAATTTATCATCTGTATAGCAGTTGTTACTAAATGGTTGCTTTGATTTTCATTTCAGGATGTAAAATTGAGCCTGAAAGGAAAGCACGCCCAAGACAGTCGCAATCTGAATTCCTCCATGACATTTGCCTATGGCAAAGGAAATACAATTGATGCTGCTCTCAATCTTAGAAACAGTGGAAAAAGGACACTTTATCTCTTGGGTGAAGCTAGCCTCTCCTATCCAGGCAAAGAACTACGTCTGAATACCGATCTAATCCAGTCAAAGAAAGACTACACACACTCCATGACCTTCTACATGGATAAAGAAAAGTCTACCATGGTAACAACCTACAAAAGACAGAAGGATGCAGCCCACCAGGTGAAATCTAACATCAACCTACATAACATCCAGCCAATCCAACTCACTGCTTCCACTAACCTGGATAACAAAGACCTCAAGGTTTCTGCTCAGGCTGATTATGCTGGCGAGGTTTACGGAATCAACACAGGCTATAAATACTCCAAGACATCATCTGCCAAGTGGAGCATGGACATGACATACCCCACAAGACATGTCATTCTTCAGGTCGAAGGGGGAAAGCGAGGTGTCACATATGAGGGCTCTGCTGATGTTAAGTGGGATGCTGATAAGGACATTTCCAGGAGATTCCTCCTCACAGGAAAACTCAACCTCAAGTCACTTGGCAATTTCGCTTCCACTGTTGCAATGAAATACCCAACCAGAGATGTGGAGTTCAATATCAAACATGCTAGTGGTGAACAGTATACAACCCGTGCTGATTTCTCTTGGGACACTGACAAGAAGGTCAAAGTGGACACATCTTTCAAAAGGGTCCCAAGACGAAATGGGCAGTCACTTGATGGCTCTGTGAGAGTGAAGACACCATTTGAAGGATTTGAGGAACTAATGGCCCAGGCCAGCAGTGACAACGATGACAAAAAATATGGCTCTTACATGCAATTCTCCTGGGGTGGAAAGAAGAATCAGATCTCTTCTGCTGTCAGCATGAAGAAACCCTTCTCTGTAAGAAACATAGACCTCACTATCACAGGAACATCCCCTTTCAAGGGATACAGAAGGTTCAGCACCGAAGTGGCTCACAGAATGACAACTTCACTCACCACTATCATGAAGGGAAGCTTAGAGGGAATGAATGCCAAGCTCATTATGACTGGAGAGAACCGATGCACTGACCAGAAAAGGGACATTGAGGGTACTGTGACTTTTAAGTCCAACTTCAAGGGAATGCGAGCTGTTAATCTCCGTCTTTCTCACAATGATGATTTAAGAAAGTTTGTGACTGACATTGCACTGGATGTCAATGGTGATCAATACATCTATGACTTGGATATGAACCTAGGAAGATCTGGATGGCAGTTCCAAAACACTGGCAAGCTCACACTCTCTTCTCCAAGCTACCAATTCACCAACAACTGGGAACACAGAAATACTCACAATGATGTGAAGAGTACAATGACAACAGAATGGGGCAGAGACAAACGTATATTTGTCAACATATTTGGAAACCATGCTTCAGCCACCAGAACAAAGGCCTTAGGGGGAGTGACAATTGAAACACCATGGGAACCAATCCGCAATATTGACATCAACCTTGACCATGAACATGGAAGAGGTTTTATCCGACACTCGTCTAACATGAAGCAGGGAGAGAATATGATTGGATCAGCGGGTATCAACTACATTAGATCCAATGGGCAAACAGAGTCTGATTTTACACTGGCATCACCCATGACCAACCTTAAAGGGAAGATAAATGCTCGCCATGTAACTTATCCACTCTCGGGTCATGCTGAATTAGAATGGTCTCCATATAACAAATTATCGCTCGATGGTTCCTTTGCTGCTCCATCTACCCAGGATATTGAAACAAGTCTGAGGATGACAAGTCCTTTTGAAAACTTCAGAGATATTGTCGTGAAGGCATCCCACAAGAAGGAAGGCTCTGATTTGATATCCAGAGGAAGCTTCAGCTATGACATAAGAAAGTCCTTTGAGTTTGAAGCACACATCACACCTGATAGTCTCAACAATTACCGGGCAACACTGAAGACTCCATTTGATGACTACAAATCTTTGGAAGCAGGACTTTCATTCAATGGTGACCATAGAAACTTCATGAGCAAAGCTAACTTTGCTATCACTCCAGTCCTGGGCAACTTTGCTGGAGTCTTAAACTGGAACCTAGATGATATGAATGGAAAAATGAGGATAGATACTCCCTTCCACGAGTATCAGTACTTGCAGGTGTTTGCCAGCAGTGAAAATACAGGCAAGGGAAGACGTTCACACATTGAAACTGAATACTACCCAAGGAAAACTATTAGCCTCGATGCTGTCTATGCCATTGGAACCCCCATTATTATTGACGTCACCATGAAGACTCCATTTGAAAGAATGGAACACATGAGTGCATCCCTGAAGCATGCACTGAGAAGACGTTCATTACAAACACATGTTGATGTTTCGTTTGCTTCAGACAACAACCTGGCTGGTGATCTGAAACTGAACTGGGCAAAGGGATATGATGGCAGTCTGGTTATCACCACACCTTTCTCTGGTTATGAAATGAACAAGCTATCGTTAAGACATGAGGGCAACTGGGATGCCGTGAAGAGCCATGGAGAAATAGAAATGGCAAAGAAAACTGGGGAAGTGGACCTAGATTTTCATAATGGTTTTAGATCAACTGGGGTGTTCACACTGAAGACACCATTCAGTGGCATGACAGAAACTAAAGTTTCATTCAACAAGCGTGGCTCTTTGGATAACATACGAGGAGGTATAATTATCACCTATGGACAAGATCAAACCATTGACATCTCTGGCCAGAACAGATTTTCCAACGGACGCCTGGACACAACACTTCTTCTCAAATCCCCCTTTTCTGATAACATCAAGTTTGTCATTGATCATGATGGTCAATTAAGAAGTTTCTCCACTAAGGTATCTGGAGCAGTTGGTTCACGGCACTCCTTCAACTCAGAGTCAGCATTCACTTTCAGATATCCATTGATAGATCTATCTACCAACTTTGGCTACACAAAAGATTGGAGGGGCAGAAACATTGGACTCAAGCTTCACAAAGAAGGCTACATTAGTGACATGAACGCCAAAGCCAGTGGAATTCTGGAAAATGAACAAGTTGATATTTCCCTTATGCTAAAGACAGATGGCAAAATTGAAGGATCTCTTACCATGCAAACACCATTTGAAGACTACAAAGATGTTGGACTTTCTCTTCAACATTCTGGTAACATGCAGAGGTTTTCAAGTCAAGGCACTATCAGGTACATGGATGGCAAGTCTCTGGAAGGCACACTTACTTTGTGGCAATCTGGACTGGCTCATATTGATACCAAAGCAGAAATCAAGACTCCCTTCCTTGGATATGAATCTTCACTTCTCAAATACCGCCATTCTATCGATGACACCCAAATGACATCAAATGCTCTCATTCTCTATGGACGTGGACAACGAATTACATCTGATCTCAGTATCGAAACATCACCTAAGATCAGTTTTGATCTTACCATTCAAACACCCTTCAACAGATTCCAAAACAATAAACTTGTGTTTAGACATTCCGGACCGCTTATCAGCTGCACAAGTCATGCACAAATGGAAATCCTAGAGAAATCAATCACTGCTGATTCATCATTTGAACACGGAACTACTACCATGGCTAGTCTCTCCATCATCTCTAATATCGAGGGTATGGAAATGGTCAAAGCATCTTTCAACAAGGAGGGAAGCAGCGACAACTTTAGAGGTACTGCCTCAGCCTCCCTTAAGGATTCCACCATTGAAGCCGATATCACAGGTAGAATTGCTCAAGACATCAGAGGAACCTTTTCTCTAAGAACACCTTTCAGAGACTTTAGAGACACAGCCATTGTCATTGAACACACAGGCAACTGGAATGACTTTAATAGCGAAGGACTGCTCCGTTACATGGATGGCAAAACAATTGAGGGCAAAGTTAAGTTCTCCCATAATGGATACAGGCAGATGAAAACAAGTGCCGAGCTGAAGACACCCTTCACTGCATTTGAAATGATGACAGCTGAATATGGACATGATTCCAGGAGCAATAACTTTAAATCTAACTCAGCAGTCACCTATGGCAACGGACAGAGAATTACATCAGACATCTCTGCAGATACATCCAGAGATATCAATGTAAATGTTGTGCTCAAAACTCCTTTCAGGAACTTTGAACTTAGCAGAGCAATGTTTACTTCTACTGGTCCTCTCAGAAATCTGAAAAGCAATGCAGAACTTGAGTTTGCCAAGACCATACTTACTGCACAGACCAACTTTGCAAACATGGAATCAACAAAAGGCAACCTCATTATCACAACAAACATTCCTGGTTATGAAAGCATGAAGGGTTCCATTGGTGTGGAGGGTGATCTCACTGACCTGAAAAGCACAGCCCTTCTTAACATTAAGGATTCTACACTAGAGGTAGATCTTAGTGCCAGTTTAAAGAACAGCATCATGGCATCTTTGACGATCAGGAGTCCTTTCCAGAACTTCAGAAATGTTGGAGGGTTTATCCAGCACTCAGGATCCCTATCCCGCTTCAATACTGAAGGAAATCTTCGCTACATGGATGGAAAGGTTGTTGAAAGCAAGGTCGTCTTCTTAACATCTGGACTGACACACATTCAAGCCAGCACTGAGCTAAAAACACCTTTCCAAGGATATGAAAGCCAATCTGGGGAATACAAACATTCAGTAAAGAATGGCCGTCTTAGCTCCAACATGGATATTACCTATGGTCAAGATCAAAAAGTACTTATGACTGTAAATGGCATGATGTCACCAGCAATTGACATAAGCGCTACACTCAAAACTCCTTTCACAAACTTTGACAACAGCAGAATCATCTTCACTCATGAGGGATCCATTGGCAACTGCAAGAGTCATCTGGAAGTACAAGCCATTGGAAAGTCATTTACTGCAGAGTCTGATGTCCAGACTGGAAGTTCTATGAGAGGTAACCTGAATATTGTCAGCAACATTCAAGGCCTGGAAAGCATGAGGGTATCTTACAGTAAAGAAGGGGATATCAATAATCTCAAAGCTAAAGGATCCATTGGAATCAGAGATGAAACATTAGAAGCATCTGTCAACAACGTCTTTAGTTCAAGACGACTCTTGACTGACTTATCCATCAGAAACCCATACACAGAAGATATTGATGTGCATCTAGATTTCAACGGGAGACCAACCAACTTCAAAAATCAGATGTCTGCCAGCATAGGCACTGGTGGTTCCATCTCAACTGGCTCATCCTTCCGGGTTAGAAATGGTGATATTGACATCAGCTCAGGATTTACCTTCAATCTGGCAGGACTTGGGCAGACAGGAAACATCAAATTCCACAAAGAAGGGGAGCTGAGGAATATGAAGATGAGTATCAATGGTGACTACAACCAGAGGAAAGCAAGTATGAAGGCCGAATTCAGAGCAATGGATGATGTTCATGGTGAGGTCCAAATCTTAACACCATTCAGACCATACAGAAACATTGGCTTCTCTTTTGATCACTCTGGTACATGGAATCGTTTTACTTCTCAAAGTATGGTCAAATTCATGGACAGGAGACAGATCACCGCGAAAATCAACCATTTCAACCATGACCTTGATCGTCTAGAAAGTAGCTTAGAAATCAATACACCTTTCCAAGGCTATGAATTCACCAAGGCTGAGATCGATCACACTGCAACAACTAATGGAATCAACTGTAATGCTGCTGTACAGTATGCACAAGGGCAGAAACTTACAGGAGAACTCCATGCAACAACCTCACCAAAGTATGACGTGGAAATCAAACTGACTACACCGTTTAGAAAATATGAGGTTCTCTCTGCATCCACATCATTTGAGCATGGTATTGAAAGATACAATCTAGAGAGCAAACTGAATGCTGGAAACGGCAATCGCTTTGGTCTTGAGTCAACTATTGACATGTCTACCACGCCCTACACTGCTGTTGCACGAATCTCAACACCATTTGAAAACTTGGATTCTGCTGAGATCTCTTTAACACATGCTGGTGAACTAAGGAAGTTTAGGTCCACAGGCACCATACAAACTCCAATGACTGGTATTCTCACAGGTGAAGCATCTCTCGGCTACTCATCTCCATTAGAAATGGAAGGTTTAATATCTCTTTCCAATGATATCAAACTGGCTCTTCACAACACCATCAGAAACAAGAAATACCAATCTCACATTGAGGCGTCATGGAGCCCCAGGGACCAAATAGCTTTTGATGGATCCTACCAATTCCTTGAAATATACAATGAGAAACAACTGACAACAGATTTCACCCTTGTTACGCCATTTGAAACTGCAAAGGTGACTGCTCTTAGGTTTGAACATCATCAAGGATCAGACAAATATACAGAGAAGCTGGAAGCCGATTACAATGGTGACACTGTTCTGGATATGGACATGGAGATCTCCCGAGGCTCAAGGGAGCAGGGAACATTCACAATGAGGACACCAAGACCAATGCAGCTGACTCTTTCAGGGGAAATAGCTGATAAGAACATCGATGGAGAGATGTTTGTCAACTGGGACAGAGATGAACCCGAGAGCAACATCCGAATCCAGACCACACTGACAGATAGGAGCAGACAGTCTCTTTTGAACAAAGACCTGACACTAAAGTTTATCCATCCATCCCGCACTGTTGGTATCATTGGAAATGTCCTCACTTCACAGCTCCAGACAAAGAGTCATGGCGAATTCATCTGGAATGAAGATGCAGGTCACAAACTGTTCTATGATGTGGATGTAAAGGATCGTAGCCGTCGCTACAGCAAGATGTTTGATGGCTCCTTCAAAGTGGGATCCCCTCTGAGAAGTCTCCAAATGGATGGGTCTTACAGTCAGACAGGTGCAAGCCAAACTGTGGATGGAGCCTTCTCCTGGGATGCAGACAGAGATGACACAAAGAAGATTGGCATGAAAGCAGTCCTCGCACCTGGTGACAAAAACAAGCAGGCAGACCTCTCTCTCAGACTTCCTTCTATTGGCAAGGTAGGAACACAACACATTACTTACACTGGACTTTTAATTTCAAATTGATGCTTTGATCTTATCATAGGAAAATGTCATGATGAATAGTAAACCTTAATGATATGTTACCATATTTAGAACACATTCGTATCTGTTGCAAATATTCTTCAGAACATCCAGATCGACACAGAAATGCTGCTGAATGATGGCAGGACTGTCTTCAATGGAAAAACACAAGTGTCCTACTCCAGTGACTCCCGAAAAACCCTCACCCTTACATCTCGAATGGATGACATTTCCTATGGCTATGGTAACACCAACTACAGCTTTGTGGTTGGCATTAGCCACCCATATACAGATGTGGACGTCAAACTAACATCCCATGTTGGTAGCTCCAGTGAGAAAGTATCTGCTGGAACTGGAATGACCTACCTGACAGCCAGGAGGGAAAGAAAGAACTTTGCCCTCAGAGGAGAGATCAACAAACTAAGAAAGCAGATACAACTGCAGGTGACAATGACTATACTATAAAAACAAAAGTTAAAGTTATAATTAGAATCTTGAGATGAAAATGGTGTCTAAACATATTTGTGAATATATAATATTTATGTTTATCTTCATAACTTTAAAAGTTATTGTAAAGTTATAATTCAAGTCTCATGACAAAAATAGTGTCTAAGTATTGACGTGAACATAAGCAACATAGCTCCCGCTTATTACAGATGGAGACCCCAATCAAAAACATGGAACTTTCTGGTGAGATGGAGGAGACCCCTTTCAAGCTGAAGATCAGGAATATGTATGGGGACAAGATTGTCCAAGCCCACCTTACTGTTGATGCTGAAAGGAGAATGGTGGACTTCCAAACTAACTACGATCTGGGTAGGTTCTAAAATATTCATGTTCCCTTCATGTTTGATCCACATTTCATCAAACGTATGGAATTTTTGAGACCAAGCATTCAAACTATGACTGAATAACACACATTTTCTTTTACAGACAACCCTGGAAAAACACAGAACATGAATGCCAGATATGTCAACTCAAGTGCCATGCAGGCTGAGGTTTATCATCAGGAGAATTCCCGTCGAGTGTCTGATAGTCTAGTTGCACTCAGACTCAACACATCCCGTCTGCTCCATACCAGGATATCCTGGAGGCCACAAATGATCGCCGATGTTCAGGTAGTAAATGCTATTATATGTAATTGCTACACATGAAATTATGAAAATCTAAACATGCCATAAACATTCCAATATGTGAGGGTTGTTTTTATAAATGAGTACCCTTGCATTTTTAAAGGGATACTTGACGAAGAAGGTGGAGACATATGGACAAAATACAAAAAGCGCTTTCCACTCTGTGTACGAGTCTGTGGGACAGGAGTTGTCAGGCAAGTACCACCGGATTGCACAAGCCACCAAGGAAGAACTGTCTCCTTACCTAACCATGTTGGAATCAGAAATGGCTACCATAGAGAAACAGCTGGACTCTATCAGGAGGGATGTCAAGCGCATGTACGACCGTAATGACTTCTACATGGCAGCCATGGGAGATCACTTCAACCAGGCATTGTAAGTATATCAGTGATTTCATTCATGTAAAGTTGGGTATAAATTTATGGTAATAATAATAATAAGTATAACCTTGTCAGACACTACACAGGACACTACACAGGATACACAGGATAACAGATACTCACTGAAATAACTCGGAAACAAGTTGATAACCGAGTGGAAACTTCTTTGTTTCAGCCAAGCCTACAAGGACCTTGTGACTTCGACAAAGGAAGTGTTTGCTTCCACTAATCAGAAATTAGCTGAATATATGGAGGAGATGACAAACTTCCCCATTGGACAGAAATATCAGGCTATCGTTGCTGAAACACTCGTCAACTTTAAGGTTTGTTACCCTTCCATGCTTACCCTTTTCGCGAACACCTGGTGTCACCATTGTTTTCAGCGATCCATGCTATGATTTTCACCCTTATTTTGCCTTTTACGCCCAGTTGAATCTGTTTTGGTGGACAGCTAGTTATTCTCTGGTGTTGATATTATATATGTGATGTAGTTCTCCATTCATTTCTCAATGCAGCGTGGTGTGGACGAGCTTGTCATAAACACTGTTGAAATGATATCGGGGCTTGATGAACAGCTGCAGAGTTTGAGGAACACTTATCATCATCATTACAATAACCTGCGGACTTCTATTACAGGTAATTCTTTGGTACTTATTATTAGTGTGTGCTTTTGCTTCGAGGGGTGGTTGGGTAGCCAAGCAGTTAAAGCGTCTGCTGGTCACGCTGAATGCCCGGATTCGATTCCCCACTTGGGTACAATGTGTGAAGCCCATTTCTGGTGTCCCCCGCCTTGATATTGTTGGAATATTGCAAAAAGGGGTTTACAAACATACTCAATTACTCACTTTCCTTCGGCGATCAATGTAAAATTACCATTATCGTGAAAGTTCATTTTTACATTAGATTGCACCTTTTCTTAGACCTGAAGAACCATCCTCGATTGGCGACCATCAGGCTTCAGTTTGCTGACAACTACCAGCAATACCTCAACACCATCACCAACAAAGTACAGGATCTTAACATCCCTAGCAGATACAACACAATTGTAGAACACACACAGAAGATGCTGACCTCCCGCCTAGGAGACATCATGAAGAGGGACGACCTCCAGCATCTGCTTTCTCTTACTAATGATGCTTACCAAGAGGTCAGTCCTAACGTTGTCTGCTTGATGTAAATCTGGAATTGTGTTCGTATATTATAAGCCAATTTATCTTTTCAAGTTCTAAGTATGTTGGCGCAGACTGAAAGAAACTGTAACTTTAATGGCTTGTCAATGATTAACAGGGTGTGTGGGCATTTAACTACTGGCAAGTAGAGGAAAACCTCAAGCAGCACCTGCAGAGCATCTATGACATCCTCAAGGAGATGGTTGAGGAGGAGGTTCAGAAGTATAGGGAACAATTGGTGTTTCTGGAAAAGTCCAAGGTCACAGTTTGGGATCCTCAACATGGTGAAATTCAGATAGAATTATACTTGCCCATCCCAGTTCAATCTCTGGACACACTTCCAGAAATCCAGACGTATGTTCAAAAGGCAAAGACTGCAATCAGCACCTACATCCCAGACAGGGCAACATACCAGAGAGTAAGTAACTTAACGTAGATTACCACAGTGTGAAACAAGTCGAGCGGCTACCAGATTTGCAGAGTCAAGAGTTTTACTTATGTATTATTTATCATATACATCCCCGAGGATATACCTATGCCATTGACGTTTAAATTGATCTTGAACCTATTTATTATTTGAATATCCTGTTTTAACAAGAGTATTTTGTCCAATTTTCAGTACATTCCAAAGTCATTGTGGCAGACACATAATGCTACAACCAGAATGAATGGTGAAATAAAAGTAAGTAGGACACGAGGTTTTTAGGGCACCGTGTACTTTACATCTCTTTTTAATATCTTAATTTACATTTGCAGTTAACCAAGTCATTTTGCTCATAATTGATATGCTCGTACCTGATATCAGACAATGAACAATAAAAACCAATCATTCTGAAGTACGCATACGGTGGTAGAAATCAATTCATTCAAAGAATACAAATAGATCAACTTAAAATGAAACAGCTTACATATTTACATAACTTTTCACTCTTTTGCAGACCTTGCCAAACGCTTCTCAGAGACGTCCCTTGAGAAGGTACAACGCCATCCGTCTCTAGGACTACGACGTTCCAACGCCAACTTACCCACACACGGAAAAATGATCTAGGCATATTTATTGACTATTTATAATACCTAACGTTTTGTGTAAAGTGAATGTTACTTGTAAACTATACTGAACAGTTGATACCAACAGAATATCTGGTTGTCATACCAATCTTCAGAATGACAATAACTAAAACATATTATATTTGCTGGTTTAATAACAATTCCTTAACGTGGAATGTGTTATTAGTCTATTGTTCAGTAAAGGTTACAGTTAGTGTGACATAGTAGCATGTATTAATTCCCTTCCCAGTCCTAAAATAAATATTTGCATTCAAAGTGTGTCTCCGTATATTCTGTGGTGTTACATCTTTACTTTCTATCATGGAATAACCGGATTGTTCAAGTATTTGCCATACTCATCACATACTATGTAATGGCATTAGTAAAGTATCTTCTTGTCATCTGTCATTGACATGACAGTTCAAACTGTATGGTGTCATTACAAATAACACTTTCTACTTTCAAGAGATGTCATAGTAGTTCAGTGTTGCAAGAGACATAAGAACACACTGTCTCACAAGAACACACTGTTTCACGAGACACAAGAACACACTGTCTCACAAGACACAAGAACACACTGTCTCACAAGACACGAGAACACAATGTTTCACGAGACACAAGAACACACTGTCTCACAAGACACAAGAACACAATGTCTCACAAGACACAAGAACACAATGTCTCACGAGACACAAGAACACAATGTCTCACGAGACACAAGAACACACCGTCTCACAAGACACAAGAACACACAGTCTCACAAAACACAAGAACACTGGTCCAAATGTTGTTTCCATCATGTTGTACTGCTGTTCTCACCCTGAACTATGTATGTCTGTCAAGGGGTAAATAAAACCTGAACCAGTGATGTTTAAATATGTTACACAATATTTAATTATTATGGTAGTCTCGAATAGTATTTCTCCTCTGTCCCATCTATGGATTTCAATACCTCTACAGATGTAGTGTCTAAATAATGGTTTTAGTCTGAAGACAATTGCTTCTGGTATTTAGCTAAAGAAAAGAGGTGAATTGGATGCTCTTTCGGAATTTTTAAGGTGATCGAACCAATTAATATATCGAAATTATGGGCAGAAGTCTTTGTGAGTTAATACGAACGACAAAACCCTTTCCATATTGGTGAGAAATCTTTGTAAAAACAGAGTCCATTGTACGATTCCGACTAAATCAGAAGCGTGTGTTTATGAATCACTATCAAATGTATTCGCGAAACGTTCGCCAACAGTAGCACCCGTCACAAACACATGCAAAGGCAAAGTAATAGTTTGCCTGAAAAAACACGGGAATATAAAAATTATGTTACAAGTCAAAATAGGGAATTGCATCGGATATCATTTTTTGTCACTGATGCGTCAAATTTGGAAATGTCCTCCTCATGTCTACAATACAACTTTTTGAAAGCTTTACTCAGGCATTGACTGTTATGACCTTGATGAAACAGCTTTTGAGCAAGAATCGTATGAGGCTCTTGGAAATCTTGGTATAAAGAGCATGTTCGATTGTACCTCAAAAGTTGTGAAAAATAGACACCAATTGCAATGCTGGAGCTGTTGCAATATTGCTCGACAAAAATAGAAACTTCACCAGAAAGTTGAAGTTATCCCTTTTGTCATACAGCCTTGTGGGTAGCTTTTTGTCACTCTGAATCTTTATGCATAAGTTTAGATAAGAAACAGGTGAGACGGTCTCACTGGTCTCCTTTATTTCGACTTCAGGTGGGTAAATCAGAGAAGAGAATGGGATATTTCACTGCTTTGGAACGATATCAGATCATCGATACGCCTGAGCTAAAAGGGCAATTGGATTTTGCAGATTTAAATACTTTAGGGCATACTCAATCACAAATGCTGGACCAAAAGGAAATTAGAAAAAGCGAAATAGCGTAATACAGACGTAATACGTCAAAAAGACCACCCCTTACTGTGGCGGCCGGTGGTTTACTTGGGGTCTTCCTCACTTGTTACGGGCACAACTTCACATGATCGTGGTAAGACAATTGGGGATTAAAGGGAGCAACTCACATATGACACAACTAATTGGTGAACTATATTTACATAAACAATACTGAGTGAAAAAGTTTATATGGCCGCGCCCAGTCAACACGACCTGATCGATATTCGAGATCTATATTGTGATAAAACAGGTCTTACATCGCGAAGTGCATCAAATCACGTGAGCACCTTGATTAAAAACACGAAAAGATTAGGAAAATAGCACAAGTAAGAAGTCTCCGTAGTCTCTCTAGTTTTTGATAATCCACATGGTATTAATTCCACTTGTCTCAACACTTCGTATTTCTTTATTTGTATTAAGGATTAATTATTCTTTTAGTCAGGGATTTGGTGGTACATTTCTTGGACCCAGCAAATATATCTCTCTTTGTACGGACTTTTATGGAGCTTTAAAATCCAGCACGCAAGATAAAAGGACATTTTTACAGCTTTCAACCAAGTCAAAAGTTGATAGTACTCGCCCAGGGTGTTGACATATTTCTTCCTCATTTTACATACACTGGCCTTATATGTGGCATTATTTGAAATGAGAACACGTTTTATTATATACTTAAGTGTGAAAGACTGAGTTTTCCGAAGTTGAGAAAAGTGATATTTTCATTGCAGTGAACATAATATTTGATATTTCACTGCACTGAACATGACAGTTGATATTTCACTGCAGTGAACATAACACTTGATATTTCACTGCTGTCTGTGAGCATAACACTAGTCACACAAGAGTGACCTCCCCTCAAAGTGTCTGGCACGTTCACAAACTGCTGACTTCCTTTTCACGTTAGTTCCACATTGACAGATGGTCATTTATGTAGTTAATATCGCTTTGTGGTGTTTGTTATGCTCTTGAAAATGGTCCGTTATAAACTGTAAATGTCTCACTTAACTTGTCAATCGAGACAAATCGCAATGCGCCATTTTTGTTACTTGACCAGAGTGTATTCTTTCGCTTCCAACAGCGGTTTCGAAGTTTCCAAGAATATTTTCTTGTAAAAGTGGAATTTCTTTTATAATCATATCTATCTGTTTGATACTGAATCTTCGCGACCCTAAATATTTTTGTGTTACTTTTGTTTATATTTTATATGATTTTGTAAACACGGGGAAAAGGCGATACATGCAATATCTTCTATATGTTAACGACGGTAGGCAAAAACAAAGAACATATCAAGACATTCTGCAAAGTGAGGTGTTACACCCATCTCACAAATATTATACGTCATTTTAATCTCACGTTAATATGCTATGACATTCCATCTACGTCTCTATTTACTACAAATAGATTAATAAATGAGTCACCTTTAGATACCGTGTAAATACAAGTGTATTTCAATACGTTTTGAAACTGACAAGATGGTTGCCAAATTGAAAGAAGGAAATAACTCTAACTCCATGCTCTTATTCATGGAATGTGGACCATCCATATTGTACCGAGTGACAGTGTAAGTCAAACCCATGCGATGTAAGATGTCTACAGTCAATAGCAATATTAGCAACATTAATCTAATGTATATAACACAGTACATTTTATCTGTGACTAAAGGCATGACAACATACGCTCAGTTAATGAAAAATGCGAACGTGTTATTTCTGGATGAAACTCTAAACTCGTAACGTGTTTGTGTGTGTGTGTGTGTGTGAGTTTTGTGTGTGTGTGAGTTTTGTGTGTGTGTGTGTGTGTGTGTGTGTGTGTGTGTGTGTGTGTGTGTGTGTGTGTGTGTGTGTGTGTGTGTGTGTGTGTGTGTGTGTGTGTCTGTGTGTGTCTGTGTCTGTGTGTGTCTGTGTGTGTCTGTGTCTGTGTGTTTTTCAACATCAACAAGTACCGCGCGTAAGATCAAACATATGATGTGTTTGTAGTATTATTAATTTGAAGAAAATATTCATATATATTATTAGACCATCAACATGGTGTAAAGGATAGAGCGCTTGTCCGTTAGAGGTTCGATCCCATGGCCACGTCAAACCAAAAGACGTTAAAAGATTATGCTAGCTGTTACCAACTCTGGCGTTCGGCCTCAAGGGGATAAAACAGGGACTGGTCGTCGACTCGTGGTCCGTGTACTGTGTCTGAGTGGGGTATTCATGCGGCATGATGCGATGTGCTGAGAAGAAACATGACGAGTGATAAGGTAGATCATTGTCACCCCTCAACGTTATGTACAGTGGGAAATGCAAGACTGACAGCGGACTGCTCAACACTCATTCAAGTCTCTCATTTCCTGCAAATATTTGGCTACCAAACCATATTTTCGAACCATTATTTAAGAAAATATGTTTGTTTTAATTTATCTTATAAAACAAACTCTGAATAGAATAGAAGTTTATTTAGATGACAATATAGTTATTTTTTCCTTAAAAGTATAACAACTGTGCTCTTTCATATAGACCTTAATTCATTCGTAGTGCATCTGTATCACTGATTACAGTATCTAACTGTAACAAAGATCATCTACAGATTAATAGAAGGTTAACCACAACAAATTCCGAAATGATAAGAAACGATGGATAGTTTAATCTTACATCAGAATACACCAACTTCTTTGATTTTACCAATTCATACTTTGAACATGAATTAGAAAGAATTGTATTATTTTCAACATTAATAGCGATTTAAAAGAGCTATGTAAACGGAATGTTATGATACGTGTGCCTGGTGTATGAATATCCTGTTATCAGCTTTGACTAGTACATACCTTGACGGATTACATTGAACTGCTTGTTGTTGCGATTAAATGCACCAAGTGGGGTCAGGATCGGGGTGATTTGGTTCATGGCATGTCAGTGTATCCGAACGACACTGCAGACTGGCTTCCCAAGCACAGAACAGATTCTTTATTGACCACTGTCCCATAGCTGTAATACTTTTGAGTGCTGCAGTGTATCTGAACTCAAATGCCTTCAGCATGCAGACTTACATTCCAAAAAGTATACAGATGCTTCCATGATTACACCATTCTACTAAATTTAATCTTTGACAAAAATATAAACTGGCACCTCAACACTTTACCTGTAATGAAACGTAGTTCACAGTTTATAATATTGAAATACGGTCACGGAACAAAGTCTAAATCTAACTAACCTTTGCTACTCGTGACGTTGATACACATACATAATACTTCAGCAGATGCTGATTGACATGCCCCAACTCAAGACGTGTAATCAGGAGTTAATCGCAATGCCCGTTGATCTACAATATTTATATATAGATTACTGTATCTCCATCTGACTACGCCGTGGTCAAAAGTC